GATATAGCGTGAAAACGGCGCAGGTCCAGCTGGCTGGGCTTGTGGAGCCACGTAAACATACTGACATATAGCCCTGAAGGAAAAAAAAGAAAAAAATTTATAACTACCTAACAAGGCGCGCAAACGAGTATCCTGATTCCCGAATTCTTTGTCTCGTGTTCCGGATTTGGAGCTGACTCTAAAGCTAATGGTAGTTAGGCTACCTAAAGGCACCCAAAGGTACCTAAAAATCAAGGCGCCGTCGTGAAGCAATACACACCATTCAGACTGAACAGCCAAGGTAAGACGTTAGGTAGAGTTTCAATAATGGAGTAAATAAATGACTCTGCATTGCGTACAATGTGACACTATCATTTGAGGACTCTTAGTATTATGCCACGAAGATGCGATCGTCTTTCTTGCATGAAGCATAATATGTCTGGCCCAATGGGTAGAATACATTATTTGAATAATCCGTACAAGGCGTATGTAAATGGAAGAATTCGGGAAGGTCAGGGGTAGGTAAACAACTTAAACCACTCGCCCGCTTTACTCCACTGAGGGACTGTTTGCCTGTGAGGGGTTATAACCTGCCTCGTCAGCCCGTCTGCTCCTTACTCCTTGCTCCTGCTACATAGGTGGATCTATGTAAATGCTAAAAAAGGGAATTTACCCCACCTTACCCACGCTGTACCACACTTCTTATTCTTCTTATTGTGCTGATCACGTGTTGTGCTGTACTGTTTCTTTTACGATAAGAGCCCGACCCTGATTTATTATGGAGTCTCACATGGTCAAGTCAGCTAAGACTTTGCGAGGGGCCATCCGCGGGCCATGGCAACCCTTGGCAACCCTCTTCGTTCCATTATTCCAACCCTCCACCCGAGCATTAAAAACTTATTCAACCACCTAATGGTTGCTATGTTGTTATCTTGTCTCATCTACATACCAGTATACCTACCTACATACATACATATAATCATTAACTTATCCCAGCCGCCTTTCTACTGGGTCAGTTCTAGTTTCAATGCATGATTTCTCGTAAAACATTAAATAAATGCCCGAGCCTTGCTTAGTCGAGCTGGATTCGAATTTTCCTTCTTCATCACTACATAGTCTTTGAGGAATAGGTCTGTCAGTGTCAGATCAGCTAAGCGCTACTTCAGCATATCGCCGCAACCCGCATTGGGTAGTCCGTACGCCACCTCGAATAACAAATTGAAACTGGTATTGGGGCGAATTTGGACCCCTTTTCAACTTGTAATCCGTGCAGGCTGATCGTCGTGCTACTTTACCTCCTTTTTCCAGCTCCTCGTCTTTTACTTTCTCTTACCGCTGCTAAGGCACTACAGCTGGCTGGTACTACATTCGTTTATCTCTTTTGGAATTGGCACATCTGGAAGCGTGAGTGTGAGACGAGTCATGTTAGTCTCCATCAGCACTTGGCTCTCGTGATTGTCAAGAGAACACAGGAAACCCTTGGGTTCTAGTTTTATGTATTACCTTTTTCTGGCCATCTTAATTGATTTAGTTGACGATTCGAAATCCCCGCATCTCGCAACGACAGCCGAATATAGGGTTATTCGTCCTAGTCGGTTGCTTTTGTCCTTCATTTTCTAGACCTTTGTTGTTTCGTGAAAGTGAGGCTTCACGCAATATAACTACCAACGCCCAACGCCCACCATGACCGATATCACCCCACCCAATCCAATTGACGAGGAGTCGCCTGGCGTCGCACCACCTGAGGGTCGTCCTAAGGAGAAGCGTCGCCAGAGACTCCTCCAAGGCATTCAACGCATGTCTTCATCTCCTTCGTTACAACAAATCGGTCGTTCTCGGTCTTCGAGCTCCCCGTACGGCACGCGAGGTAGTTTATCATGCGCGAGTCTCACGACGACGCCCGCTTACGGGCAATATACTTCTGGCAGCGTTACGCCGGGCTATTTTTCGAATGGCCAGTCTTCCATACCCGGCAGCCCGGCAGCTGAGCACTCTGGATTCGATGGCATTGAAACTCGTATAGCACGTAAAGTCCCCTACGTTTCTACGACGCAATTAAATCCGACTACCGTTTCTCTACCCGCCGACGTCACGGCTACGAGGTCCAGATCCGGCACGGTCCGGAAACCGCCTTTTGAATTCTGGGCTAGAATGCCCGACGAGATTCGACTTCACATTTTTTCCTACCTCCGGCCGAAAGAACTCATCCGTATTTCGCGTATAAGCAAGGAATTCCAGAAGTTCTGTTTTGATGGTCAATTATGGACTCATTTCGATGCTACCGAGTTTTATATGGAAATACCCGCAGAGGCTCTAGCCAAGATCATCCTTGCGGCAGGTCCTTTTGTGAAAGACCTCAATATCCGCGGATGTCTCCAAATCGAGCATTACAAACGAGCCGAGGTCATTGTAACAGCCTGCAAGAATTTGATCAACGCAACTTTAGAGGGATGCCGAAACTTTCAACGAACTACTCTGCACAATCTCATCAAGTCTAACGAGGGGCTTGCCCACTTGAACCTTACAAGTATGACAGCGGTAACAAATAGCACATGCAAGATAATTTCACAACATTGCCCCCAGCTTGAGACTCTTAATGTCTCGTGGTGTAAGTACATGGATGCTCGTGGTGTCAAAATGGTAGTCCAAGGGTGTCCAAAGCTACGAGAATTAAGAGCTGGAGAAATTAAAGGGTTCAACAGCATTGGGGTAGCAGAGGCTATATTTACGACGAACAATCTCGAGCGGTTAGTGTTGAGTGGTTGCGTGGACCTCGACGATGAAGCTTTCAAAACCATGATCCATGGTACTGAACCCGAAATCGATATCTTAACGGATCGGCCAGTGGTTCCACCAAGGAAGCTTCGACATCTAGACTTAACCCGGTGCTCACAGCTGACCAGCCAGGCTGTAGGTGCATTAGGTCACCTCGTTCCTGACCTACAAGGCTTACAGTTAAACGGATGTACTTCGTTGACCGACGCGGCTCTGCGGCCAATTCTTGCCTCGACTCCTCGTCTTACCCACCTGGAATTAGAGGAGCTATCGGAACTGACCAACGATTTCCTTTCTGAGCACCTGGCTAAAGCCCCGTGCGCTCCAAAGCTTAAGCATCTTTCTGTAAGCTACTGCGAAAATCTCAGTGACATAGGTATGCTGCCTGTAATGAAAAATTGCGTCAGCCTGGAGAGTGTAGATATGGACAACACACGAGTCGGCGACCTGGTTCTCACAGAAGCCGCGGCTATGGTCAGGTCTCGGTCAGCGAGGACACCCCTATCTGCTTCACGCCCTCGTATTGGTCTCAGGCTAGTTGTATATGACTGCCAAATGGTGACGTGGACCGGTGTCCGAGAGATCTTGTCTTGGAACGCCGAAATACGGCGACCTTCCGAGAGGTCGGCTACGTATCCCACCGAGATAATAGGCCTCAAATGTTTCTACGGGTGGCAGCAGACGGTAGACCAGCACACGCAGCGGGTGCTGAAGGGTGACTTTGCTGCCGCCGCGAGATTGGAGAGGAAGTGGGCGGATTACATGCAAGCCGTCGAGGAAATAGGAGCCGGGGGCGCTGGCTCCCGGCGGCGCCGACGTCGCGCTCGGGCCGCTCAGATGCTACATGCCGACGAGGAAGGAGGACCTGCCGCAGGTCGCCGCCGGGCACGAACCGTAGCGGCCAACTGCGTTGTCATGTGACCTCGTTTTTATGGCGTATATCGGTGCATCATAAACCACACTTGTCGGAGTTGGAGGCTCTAACCAGGTCGGGCCTGGTTATCACTTATTCACTTTTTTTTGCGGAGTTACCTAGTTCATGTACACATTTTTGCTGGCTGTACGGGAGTTATTAACGGCGTTTTCCTACTGCTGCCATCATGGGCACCAATCTACCTATTTTTTGTCTGTCCCTTTAAGAAGAATGTCGTTGCTTAGTGTATTTGTCGGTGTATCAGGGACGGATAGATGGTCCGTTCGCGTCTCCCTTCGGGATATGGTATGTGTGTGGCTTGCAGCTCTTGTTGACTCTTCATTCGAGTCTGTCTCTACTGGTGGTGTCATACTTTTTATATAGATTTACGGGGAGGGGTTTTGTATATTTCAGTATGCTGAGTATCAGTGCGATGAATTGGAAAGATGGATTTCACGTCCCCTGATACCTTTTATGAGCCCTACAGTCTGTATTAATTTAGAGGCTATACTTCTGAACGGCAGCCAACTTAGAAATTTGCCCGGGCGACTAAAACAGGTAATCTACATAAGTCCTAAGACCACCCTGAAATACGGGTATCGATCGAATTCCAAACAACACGAGATGTAAAGTGAAAGCGCGCAAATTAGTATTAGGTACATGAATAAACACTAGCAAAGCAACTATCAACTAGGTTGTGAGGCTAGGCTAGTTCATTTAGGAAGTTCCCCCCTTCCCCTTTTCCCCTTTTCGGTTTTCCTTTTTTTTTTCTTTTTTTCTTTTCTTTTCTTTTCTTTTCTTTTCTTTTTTCTTTTTTTCTTTTTTTTTTTTTTTTTTTTTGCATTCTCCTACTACCCTATTACATGGTCTTATTCTGAAACGCGCAGTAGTAAAAGTCTTCTCGCCCCTAGACCATAGGGTGGGAAATACAACGCGAAAATTCTCCTATCCTCATTCTCATCAGCTTCCTTTAGGAGGTTGATGCCGTGTAAGTAACATGGCTAGATGCCTCGTCGAAAATCAACCCCATGAAAGAAACCAGATATCAAAATCAACCAATAGGTCTTTGACTCGCCGAAGGCTGTCTCGAACTCAAGGTATCTGTCTTGACCAATTGATCTCTATACCAATTAGCATAGAATCATGAAAAGAGTCAGTCCCGAATTGGAGTCATATAATTGAATTATACATTAGCACGCCTTTTCTTGGCGTGGGTTCTTATTTCCGTTCGTTCTGTCGATATACGCGAAAAGCCAATGCAAGATAGGCAGGTTTCTTATTTGTTGGCCTTTGACACTAGATGAGTTGCAACGCAAACTAAGGGTTTATAAACTCAAGATCCTCGGGGTCGGCATTGGTGTCGGAAGGTAATTCTGTCGAGCCATAGGTTTTTGTATCGATCATCTTTGAATAGCTTTTCGTCGTGGTAAACGACCGACATGTCGAAATACTTGCTCAAGTAAGTTGCGACCCACTTGAACCGTTCGTCCTGCTCGACCTCCCTTTTTGAAGATCCACTGGGAACAACAACTTCAATGTCGATATAACTCCATTGGCGTACATTGTTTTCCGGAGTCATGTATCTACGGTCTTTGTCTTTGTTCACGAACTCGTACCCCTCTCGCGATGTATAATATGTCGAGCAGCAGCTAAAGACCGCGTCAAGCAACGCCGAGCATACATTCTGACGACGGTAATCAGGATGTACAACCACCGTGAGTTTCCCACAGGGCGCTGCATACGTTTTGTAGGAGCCAAAGATGCCCCTGACGGCTACGTCCATCACGGCAAACGCAATGACGGGTCCATTGTTCTCAGCGGCGGTATTATACCAGCCATCAACGGCAACGAAAAACGGCATGTTCTCGGTGCGGCACCCATCATAGACGCCGAACCACTTATGATGGCCGACTGGTCGCTTGTCCGGTGTCTTATAACTGGCGTCCATCTCTTCATTATACAATGCCGCTACCTGCATCATGTCGTCTCTCCTGGCCGGCCGGAGGTGACACGGCACTCTGATCTCACGCGGATTGGAGGCGTGCTCGGGGTAGACTAAGGGAACTTCAAGGCGCTGCCTAGGCACGTCATCTTCACTTCTATATTCCCTCTTCGGCTTGAGTTCCTCGGGCAATGCGTCTTCCTCGATAGGCTTGGTATTATCTTCAGGTTCTACCGGGTTCTCCTTGGCTAAATCAGGTTAGTAATAGGCATAAGATATCATCACTAAGAAATCGTGTACGTACCCATACGATGCACTTCAGAAGCAGAAATCACCGGTTCCATGAGACGGCCTGTTTCGGGGTCTATATCGCATTGTTCTGGGTTTGTAACCCCTTCGGGATGGAGGTCCACGGTAATCTCGTGAGTTGACTGAACCCAATTCTTGACGTATTTCTTGGCATCTTTTGGTAGATACGAAAACTGTTCAGTGGGTGAAAATTCGTCCTCCACCGTCTCAACACGCTTGTGATCCTTCGGTACGACATTACACCCCGTATTTGTCTGAGTATCCATGTGGTCGTGACGTCGGGAGTCTCTCTCCACAGCATCTACTAGGGTAGTAGTAGCGAGTGCCTTACGAGCTTCGTGTACAACGCCAGAATCAATGGTTTTGCTTGAATTGTCATACTTCTTCGCAATCGCATTTGAGTTACGTTGACTCTCATCTAGGCTAGTAGGCGCGGTAAACTGCTGATCGCTTTTGACCTCATTGGCATCCTTCTTTGGCGCCCAACGGCTTTGCGATAGCCCTCCTGGCTTTCGCAGACTACGCTCAACCTTGGCAATTGGTTGAGCTTTGACTTTGCTGGTAGCTGAGTCATTGGGGCGGCGAGTCCAGTTTGTGGTAGTAGGTTCATCCGAGGTGCTATCGTTAGCTCCCGAGAAGCCAGGTGTTTTATGCGCATTCTCCTGAGGATGCTTGACGCTGTAATCGGCTGTCTCTTCTTGAACCTTATTAGGTAGATTTACACCGGAAGCTTGGCCGGGTGATTGATCCTTAACCACTGGTTGGCAGTTGTAGTGACCCGTCTCCGGATCGTAGATGTCGACCCACATCTGTCGCTTAGCCGGAGCCATTTCTGTATGGAAGGTAACCATTAGTATCAAATTACATCTTATAGAAATATTTCAGTCGCAAGAGGTAGGTATATATGGAAAAGGTAGGTCACGCCTGGGGCACGCGACGCCCCTCGAAACTTATAACTCAGAAAAGGTAGTCTGAAAGGTTCACAGGTCCTAATTGGGGGGATGGATATATGGTTCATTGACTTACCTGCGATGTTGACCTTGTATTAGATATGTTGGGATGATTGCCGACCAATTATCTGACCTTAAGTATGATAATTACTAAGAATACCACGGCTTTTGTAGATAAGAGAAGTTGATAGTTTCTTTGCAAGTTGAAGTTGAAGGGAGAACGTCTGCGAATAAATAAGTAAGACACAAGATGTACCTCTAAACAGGAAGCCAGGTTGCTGGTTCATCAATTTATCACTGTAGAGGAATGAAGAGTAAATTGGAGGGAAAGAGAGGACGAAGAGGTGATTAGAATTAGAAAGTGCTACTCGTTCAAATGAAGGAGGATGGGTAGAGGGATGGGTAGTTGGATGGATTCTTTCCTAGGAAGTTGCAAAACATGAACAGTCTCAATGACGTAGTAATGGATGGACAACATTAAATAAAACAGTAGGCACTTACCCTTGTATCACGATGCGGAACCTAATGTACGTTTCAGATAATCAACGTGACTGGCGACTGGAGACTGGCAATAACAAATGTTAGTGAGATGATGACCTTCTTTTCGAAGACAGGCGAGTAGACAAGGTAATACTAACCAAATCCGATTCCTCTCCTGTTGCCCCCAACCCGACTTGTGTACCGAGTCGCAAATCCCGATCCAGTATGACTAGGATGTCCGATGATGAACCGGGATGGTTGAAGGTAGTTGGTATCTTGATTCCAGTCGTACTTGCAATAAAAAATCAGATATGACGTAGGTGTATAGAAGAGAGAGAAAGAGCGAACTATTAACCCAGAAAATTTTATTGGCTAATGCGCAGCTCTGATTAGTAAATAGAGTTGCTTGGGTGTAGAAACATGGAAGGTAGACTGGGCAATGTAGGTTTCATAATACATGCAAGTGATGGATGATAGTGGAGGGCACTTCAAGCTAGTAAACCAGGCTAGTCTTGTGCATCGCCTGGGAAACTTTTAGAATTGTGGCTGCGCCCTGCCACTCTTCACGAGCCTAACAACCCAGTATCGTACTTGAAATATTCGGGGAATTAGCAGTGTTAAATATGTGGTTCCTCATGTATAGCACATTACATGATGATACCACAGGGCCCGCTCGTGCTAGTACCTCGTATTTGTGAAGGGACGGTATCAGCACACTTAGCAAGATGTCCGCAGGGCATACATTAGGTATACCATGGAAACTTATGAGTTTATGGGCTCCTCGGGAGCCAGCCATACTATATAGTAATGGATAAACAATTAAAAGAGCTGAACCGTTATAGCTTCTAATACGAGACGTAGATAAATCAGACGAGACGTGTTATTATAAGTTCAAGAGATACTTACGTTAAAGAAAAGAAAACAAGTAAACGGGGCTAGGGGCATCAAATTACATCACATAAAGCTCGGAGGCACTTGACCTTTAGAGATGTATGTGCCGATGCATTTATTAGACATATTTAAAATCTTTAATGCAAAACTACTTAACTATAAGTTTTATTAAAACTTAGAGTCTATGACTTCGAAATGTTGTGATATTAAAGGAACCACATGTTCTGTGGTACTTGAACATTGTTATTAAATACGTCACTCCGGAGCTCCGGAGCAAGCCGTTTACAGCCCCGGCCCCACACCGGAGCCGGTACAAAACTGCACGTACCCCTTTTCAATATGTCGTCTCTGCTGGGAAGATGAACACCTGCAAACACAAGAACACAGAGAAGATAGGTTTTCTCCGGCACCGTTCCTATTCGCACAATTAGCTTCTATGCAGACCGGATACCCTACCTAAAAAGGGCTTAACCTAGATTAGGTACCTAAGGTGTAGGTATAATAATAATAATAATGAAAATATTGTAATTAATATTAAATACATCACCACCAGGTTTCCGCTGATCCCTAATATAAAACTAGATGGTCCGAAGGATGCCTAGCTCCAAAGATACATGAAGTTGGTCATTGTAAGGTATTTGGTATCGTGTAGGTGAATCAGAAGCCCCTGCTCTCTGGAGGGCTGGGTTATGAGGAGAAACAGCGCCTTCATTAATCCTCTCATATGGGTTGTTAGAATTTGGCAATGTGTGATTTAAACTGGTCTTCCTATTCCGGCTACCACTGCTAGAAAGCGGCCGGAAATATTTCCCCCATGATGCAACGAGACTGGGCAAAAGCTTCATTTCGCGGAAAACGCTTGGGAACGTAGGTGCGCAGAAGACCAAAAGAAGGAGCACCATTTCGGTACCACACCAAATTGCCATCCGGGATATGGCATAGGTGGCATCTTGGGTTTGAAAGTACTGTACCGTCACAATCAATCGGAAGATACCCGAAATAAAAGCCCTACGTAGATATCTCATGAGATTCTAAGTTAATATACCTACCCGAGAGAATCACTTACAAAATGCCAATAGCAAATACTAACGAAACGCTGATCTTTCTCCTTGTCGTCATATTAAGTTTCCAAATAACGGTATGAGGAAGAATTAGAATAAGCACGTGTGAAGCGATATTGACACTGGCTGCCGAAACGTCTACGGCTTTCCTGTTGAAGCACTTTCCAGGCACTGTTTGGTCCCATATCTTTTCATGTGGAGTGCAAGATAGATTCGCCACAATAAACGCGGAGGTGTAGAATAAGATGTTGATCAATATTAGAATATAGCATGTCCACTATTATTAATACGTTAGTCTAGATAAGATTCAAACGTAAATGGCAATAGAAAGTGTAAAACATTGTACATGCCTTAGCTCTTACTATATCGTGTACTAGGGATAAACTGTCGTAGGTACTTACATAGAAGAAACCACGAGTTCCTTGTGGAACAAATATTCGCGCCCACTCTAGAAGTATGGCTATTTTCAAATTCATTATCACCATCGAGTAAAATGCGAGGCAAAGGGTGACGACCTAATTATTCTGTTTTAGTAAAAATTTTGCCTACCTACCTACCTAAGGTGGATATGCATAGTGTGAAGTCTTCAGGATTTAAAGGAGTAGCCGCAGGCCAGACTCACCCAAAGAAATTCGGATAAGTCCCTCACTCGGACGTTCCACTGGTGTACGAACATCCCAACACCACGAAGGACACGGAATCCTAGGCACTGTGATGTAACGAATAGGACCTTATCAGATATTATTAATTATTATAGACTCGATATAAAAGGAAGTAAATATTGATATACATATGCTGCAAACGCAAGAACTAGTCCTAGTTAATTCAATAGAAAAGCAGATAGGCTATGCAGAACTCACAGTCTTCCAAGAACAATTTGCGTGTAAGAGCGATCCTAGAATAAATCCGTAGAGATATTGCAAGCGTTCCTATCACTAGAAGAATAACTATTGCAGTAAGGGTTGCGGAATTGCGATTCGGAGGATTCTCTAAGTCTGGCACAACACCAGAAGGAGGAGAGAGTGCTGGCCCATCTAGGATTGCCTCTTGCTCTTCGGGTGAAAGAAGGTAAATTTGATCCAGCAGCATGTCTAGCACGCTTAGGTTGACTTTAATGAAATATTTCTATTCTGATTAGACTTTCTCCTTCTATAGTCGTAGAATGCTTGCTCGCATTGGTGATATCTTGAAGAAGGCGGTCGTATAACAAGTATGATAGGTATTAAGAAAAGTAAGCCCTGGTAACGTATTGAAGCGGTAGGTAATATAACTTATAGGACTCTTCAAGTGGCTAATACACTGTCTACGGCTACTTCTTACGGAGTCCTGCGGAGGATATGAAGGCTTCGTGTTAGCTAATGTGTGTACTACCATGAGGAAACTAACGGAATATCCGAATCAAATGAGACATCGTAACGGGTCGCAGTGAGGCTGAGTTTGAGACACAACTAGATACCTAATCGTATAGTTAGACAGGTCAGCTGTGTGGCGTAACTCTAGCAAGTTTTACATATACGAAACTTCGGGTATATATTGTATATATGTACCTAGATAAACATGCATATTTCTTTCCCGTGTCTGGATCCGAGGCGCTCTTGACCGAGCTCGTACGCCATCTCACCTTATATCCTAGCTTTTCCGATTCGCCTACTTCGTATAGAAAATAGGGTTGTTATGTTATTCGGGCCAAGCAATAAGTAACCGCGTTTCACGACATCGAAACGGTATTTGCCATACTGTCAGATTTCACTGCGAACATTACGATCCTATCCGGGTTACTGTTAGTCGGCGATGCTAGGCTTTTATTACAAGCTTATATATGTGAGTTATTACTATACTATTATAACGATCCTAATTCATCACGGGGTATTCTCATTCAGCTAGGAATATATCCAATATCCATACGGAGAACTCTACTCCCCCTTATCGGTAGGAGTATAGTGTATGAGACCTCGTGGCAGCGAGGCTCGTGGACAATGCCGACTGGGGCTCTACTACTACTGCGTATGGCTAAAAGTGGTAAAAGCTAATTGGCCTTAATATTTCTCTAATTGCATGCAACCAATGTCTTTTTTTTCTTATTTTCTTGGATGGTGACTCACGAGTAATCCACGTCACCTACCTGATTAGGGCCGTAATGTGTGGTATATAAGTAGGGCCTGCAAGGCCACCAGACTTACGAATAATCAATGCCCTTTTCAACTTATTGACCAGTCTACATACCTATTTATAACAACCCCCTCATATTCACACCATCGAACTCTTTGGCTTAATTACCCGTATTTCTCTTATCCACTAGCCTCGTCGTCCTAATTGCCATGACCCTGGATTTGAAGCTCGATTTCTACCCCGCATCGGACCCCAGCCGCACGGGGGTTCTCGTGCTCCCAGGCGGCGGGTACGAGTTTATTTCGATGGAAAATGAAGGAACGGCTCCAGCACGATGGCTTAATGACCATGGGTTAGATGCGTGGGTGCTCTCTTACACGACCGCCAGCCCGTCAAATCCAGCACCGATATTCCCAGCTCCACAACGCGAGGCGCTTGAGGCAGTGCGGCGGATTCGGGCATCGGGCCGGGTCGACAAGCTAGGAATATGGGGTTTTAGCGCCGGGGGGCATCTTGCAGCTGTGACGGCGACGGATCCCGGTGCAAAATTAGATTTTGCGATCCTTGCCTATCCGGTTATTAGCATGGCGGCGGGTACCACCCACGAGGGCTCACGACGCAACCTGATCGGTGATGGGTGCGAAGCCGGTAGTGATGTTGAGAATGCTATGTGCGCTGAGAAGCGCGTCGACACAGGCACGCCGCCAACGTTTCTGCTCCACACCGCAAACGACGATAAAGTGCCAGTGCAGAATACGTTAGGGTTTGCTGCGGCTATGGCCAAGCACCGGAGGCCATTTGGAATTCTTGTTCTTCCAGATGGTCCACATGGGATAGGGTTAGCACTGGGTGATGAACGGTTAGGTTGGACGAGTGAACTAGAGAGATGGTTGAAGTTTTCTGTTTTAAATGTTTAAACTCTTTCACAGAGCACCTTGTTAAGAGTTTATACCTCCAATGTTTAGCAAAATTTGGAAGAACCCGCTAGACTTGGGCTTCTCTAGGCATAGTTAGAACATAGAAAAAGTTGGCGTAGATGTTTGATACACCTATGCTGTTTCCGGTAGCCAGCAATCGACTATATTCTACAGGGGCTATGTCGAAGTATACTCTACATAAACGTAAGGCGTAGCACGACCGCTAGGCCTTAACCTATTCGCCGGCTACGCCATTTTATTAGTGCAAAGGCTTATATAAATGTATGTTCTGCTTCATCTAAGTCATCACGAATCTCACTAGGGACAAAATCCTAGAAATTTAATAGGTTCATAGCATAGGTAACCAAAGCTTCCGAAGTGATACCAGAGGTACTCTTCTGAGGCCAGAGGGCACATCAACACCGGCGTGGAAAGTGGAAAAAGTAGAAACGAAGATGCCTAAGAATCAAGCTATATTCTACGGGGGTGTAGAGATATATTTAGGAATAACCGGCTTAGTTAACTCCATCTCACATGCTACCTACCCACAAGGCCTAGTAACTTCTATTGATGTGAGGAATCACCTAATAAGCTAATATTGCTTATGAGAGCCTCCGAGGTCCGACCGGTCCAGTAAATGATCGTGAAAAACTATATTGAATCATTTAGACCGAGAGATCTCTGGAGGAATATGGTATAACCAACAAAATACTACACTGGGTGGCAGTTCGGACGTAGGTACCATTCCCGTAGTCCTAGTATCTCCCCTATAGTAGTAACCCAGCTTTCGAGAGCTCCGTATATACTAGAAATGGCTATTACGCCGATATGTAGTGATGCTGCTGTAGCACAGATCTGCTATGTAATTAATATGTGCTATGCTCCTGCCGTAGGCAACTCCCACGTCGACAGTTATTTGAGTAAGAAAATGATAAAACCCGGAATCGTGTGCCGATGCCTCATCACAACAGAGCAGCCAAGTGGCGGTCCTTAAGGCGGTAGAGGGAATCTTACTAGGGTTAGTCATGTAACTTTGTAATTATATTGACCTAAAAGGGGGTTGTATTCGACAAGCCCTTGCCATTCACAAGCGTGCTCAAGGCTGTAGGCTTTATTTGTGGTAAGCAATGAAAAGCATCATTAAATCTTAACCGCCGGGGCCGCATGAAAGTGCAAGGCAGATTCACTGGCAGGCCGTAGAATTTTAACGGTTTGGATACCTCGGAAGCTGATAGGAACATGTGGCATTGAGAGTAGTATTTCCTCTCCCCTCATTTAGCCTGGTCCTAAGAGGCCAGAGACCACTGTTGAAATTATCACGAAACAACCCTTTCTGGAGTACTCATAAGCATTCCGAACCCTAGCACGAAATAGCAACCACTAACCTGCGTCACGGTGGCCGAAGGCAGAAATTTCATACAATGGCTAAGATGCTCAAGCGGAAGGGCATCGGGGATAATTACTTGTACGTACTGCTTCGCGGAATGGTTAACGAATGATATGAATCTACTAAACGCTCGAGAGGAATATACCCAGGTGACGTGAAAAGATATCCCTGAATCTATTCAGCAATAAATGATTCGATGGTTGCACATGAAGTTGGTATACCTAACATGGGTTTCAACACTGTAAGTCATAGGATCTCGGCAACAAGAGTGGTGAAAATAAAGCTAACACCGTCCCGACCGACAGTGACCACCTCAGTAGTAAGTTATCCTGACTCCTACTTCTTGAACGAGCCCTTACGTTTAACAGATCCTACTCCCTAGGCCGCTAGGCCGCTAAGACACTTAAAATAGCTATAACCAGATTTGTAATACTATTTCAAGTATTAGTATCGTCTTAATAGTCAACTAAGAGCCAGAGCACGCATGAAATTTGAAAAGGGTTCGTAAAGCGCGGCCTCGGGAAAGGTAACGTGCTTCGTGACACGGGCCGAGTTAAAGATTCCGGCTTTCCTAATGGTGTTTGCTAAGCGCCGAAGATAACGCCCAGCCGTACGCCGGCCTTCAATGCAACATCCCATCCTAGTAAGAATTCCTCTTTAGTTTTCGAACGTATTATGTATGGTAACATAGCCTCTATATATAAAGTAAGAGGCCTTTTAAGAGACCTTGAATCATCAAAGGAATACTAAGCACACAACTTCGGCGAGCTGTCACGCTTCAAGTATTGTGCTCAGATCACCTCTGGCTTCGTCAAAGTTGACCAGTAGAAGTAAGGGCTATTATAAAATGGCGGCATTACATCCAGCCAATCATAGCAACAGCCAGCCGAATGGAATATTCTATGATTGGTTACACACAACCAACATATCTCTGACACTGCGGCCCTTCCCACGGCCCCACGGTTCTTGAGGCCTTCTGCTTTTTACAAAGGAACTACGAAGTTCGAAAATCAGCCTCGCTAAAAATATAGGATAATAACTGCAGCATGGTCTAATGTAGGAAGCCCAAGTTGTCGATATCATTCGTTGTAGCTCATTGTTGAGAGTTTATCTAAGACCTTCTAAGTTCCAGAGTATGAGGCTATACGTGGTCACTCTCCAGTTAGGGGTAGTTTGGTTTAACCGTAAGGGAGGGCACATACTTTCGACCTTCCATACTAGCTACACCCAGTCCACCCATGGGGCTATGCCATGTCGCACCACTAGATGGGTTATACCCCGCGCACTCGATTCATCGCATTCTATGTATGGCCATGGTACGCTATTCGGTGAATAAAATCTTATGTAGTTTGTAACATTTGCTGCAGGCTGCGTAGAAGCATGCAGGTCGCAGCAAAGGCGTGAGTCGATATGAGATCAGGTGGTAAAAACCGGGAGGGAGCCAACCAACTACCTAGGTAGGTCACCTTGGGAAGTATAACGATATGTATAAGAATAGGGTTCGATGTTCTCTCATGAACACAAAATAGGAACTAGAAAGCAGCCTCAGCTTTATACTACCTCAGCTTTATATACTATATTGCACTCAAAATCAAATATTCACAATTTCTCCCCGATTGGTAATATTTTCCAACCATGTATTATCGTGATGGTTCTCTTTTTGACGACTCATACCCCCCATCCACTTCCCAGAAATGGGATCCAGTGACTGTGCTGGAGCTTTTCAACTACGCTAAGATGGCTATAACCTGTCCTGGTACTACGAAGAAAAAGCGAAGGTGTCGAAACCCTATTGCTCAACACAATTTGAAGCATTCTCTAAGGGTTCTTAATGGGTTGGCGAGCGAGCCCGCCTCTAAGGCAGCGACATCACCGGAACTCTGCAAACCACTAGGTGTCATGTTATGCTACCACCATCATCGCTACCTCTCAGACATACTCTGCGAATGGCAGTCTCGCCTAAACGATTGGGCTGCTAGACATGACGAGTCGGATGAGGATACGGAAAGTGATGTGGACAGCGATGTGGACAGCGATACGAATACGTGGAGGCCCGACTATACACCTAGAGGCGAACCTTACGTGACGACTGAAACACTTGAATACTATATCCTATATGGATACACGAGAAGAGAGAGAGAAAGGGAAGATGCAAGGCAGCGGAGGGCCGACGAGAAACGGAGAAGAAAAGAGGAAAAGAGGAAAAGGGAAGAGGAGCAAAGGCGAAAGGAAGAGGAGAGAAAACGGAAGGAAGAGGAGAGAAAACGGAAAGAAGAGGAGAAAAGACGGAAAGAAGAGGAAGCCCGCGAAAGGGCGTTTCGTGAGCGAGTCCGCCTTGCCGAAGAGCAGAAAGAGCGGGAGGCCAGAGAAAAGGCGAAGAGGGAGTCCGAAGAATGGCGCTCCTCATGGGATCGCTATTCAAGAGGGTGGAACAGCAGTGCCGACCTGGTTCCAGGAAGCATCCCCTGGCCGGTAAAATCAGGACGACGATCAGACGTTAACGAAGTCAACGTGAAGCAGTTCTTCGCTAAAGCGCCACCAGAGTCGCTAGTGGATTCGAGCGAGAAAAGATTCAAGCTCATGAATGCAGAAAATAAGAGATGGCACACAGATAAAATCATGCAACGCTTTGGCCTGGGCGTATTGCGTGGCTCTGCGAAGCCTGCCCTGGATACCATCGCCAAAACTTTGATCGAGTTGAGGCAAGAGGCTCAGAGGAATCGGTAGACCGAAGGGTATTGTATTGTATTATATTGTATTGATATGGCGATTTCTACGATAAGCTATGTTTTTTCTCTTCCCCTTCTTTCCTTTCATGTATAACAGGTCGTATATACGTGATTAGGATCTACGGCTTGTACAATAATACCCATCGACTGACTATCTTATTGATATGTTTTTCTTAACCTCGACATATGGCCAGAAGTGATTTAAGTAACTTAGAGGAATATAGTAATGGCTTCACGAAGATGGCAGTAAATATGAGACTGCAGATATTGATATTTTCTCTTTGTAAAAGATCACCGTTGCTGTTGCGGGCTGAGGAGGCTCTAACAAAATCAGGGGCTAAATATACAAACACATATTTCTAAGCTCGTAGCTGTGGATTCTATCCGATCTTTTAATTATCTTAGTTTCTTCCGAGTGAAATAAACCATATTCCACAATGATACGAAATATTCCAAGGCAAATAGATTGAAGTTTTAATCACGGCTCTGGGTCGAAGAAACCCCATATGTGCATACGTAGATCGCTGACTACCTCCTAAGCCTATCAAATGTATAAATGCATGAATATTTTAAATACCTAGATATGAGGTACGTACCCATGTATGCGTTCATCGGGGTAGAGGAACCATTGGAAATTTCCCCAGGATTCCAATTTCGAAGATAAACCAAACAATTACAACCTTGGTGAACGGATACGAGTCCACTAATTAATCAACTTTGCCGGCTTCCAATCTGCCAATCTCAAATGCGAAGGAATCGGGTTCAGACCCGTCTTAGCACAAGAACATAGCAATAGCATGGTGACTGACTGACTGACTGACTGACTACTCGAGTCCTAATGGTTAGCCAGGACGATCATTCGGTGTTTATAAAAAAGATTGCTAAAAGATTGTTACCTTGCTACGTCTTAATAGCCACGCGAACACCAATTGCGCGAGAACGTCAATGCGATGCTGTGCTACTGCAGAATATCGCCCATAATCGGTCTGAAATGGGTTTGAGTGACACGATTATTGCAGAAGAAAAGCCAATTATATCCGCAGTGCGACTCAATGTTTTCCGGCCACAACGAAGACCACGACGAAGGCCAGCTCATACAACTACCTACCTATCTATGTACACCGGGTAGGACAACCATTCGCGATTTATGGTTTAGCATTCGTTCCTTGCCCAGCCTCGTCGTGTTACCGTTGCCGTCCCACGGTAGAGAGCGTATGGGAAACTTACCCAAGGCTACTACCTACTAAACTACCGGTAGCTTGCCGCACGCTTCGGGATGAAGAATTTCCTGTAGAGAGCCAAAGGCGGTAATGGCGTTTTCAAAATACAAGCCATACTGCTTTTGGTATGCAGCATGCAACTAACTGCCTACATACAGTACATAGTAGCTGGCTTTGGTTCAGGGGAGGAACGGCAAGGCGGCTGGGCTAGTTGTAGTTCGACGGTCGACGGTCGACGGTCGACACGGGGTTGAGGTCCAATGTGGGTTTGTGGAGAAACAAATCGACTGGCTGTTCCAAAAGCAAGTTTTTACTACAGGAATCACAGGAATCACAATTCTTCCTATCATCTTACTGGACGCCTACAGATACAGCACGCAGATCTTCTCATGCAGACACGAGCTTACCTCTCTGACTCTAACTGTTGCTGGTGCAACTAGAAACCTCGGTAACACTACGATGACGGTGGTAAAATTTTATCTCATCGCTTATACCAGTTATACCCAGGTCCCAAAGTAGGCTTGCAATCTCGATCTTAAAGACCAGGGTTATGGAAATGCTCCGGGCATCACCGCAGGCGTAATCATTCTCTAAAAGCCTCACGCACCCGTTAAGCCGCCATCCCCGCCTTCTGTAGGCGTAAGGCGTTTACATACAGTCTGCATAGATATCGCAATGAAATAAGATGTGTTCGAGATGGAATACACAGATACACTATGTATACAATCCTACCGGCTGGTTATGCAGCTTGTAGCGGTGACATCCACCTCCACGCACCACATGTTACTCATGAGGGGTTGGGTTGCGTTGTCGGGCCAGTGCGGTTCCAAGATCTCAGCCTCGACTACATCATCGTTACCAGCAGACATGGGTAATCCCTGAAACCTGGTTGAGCTGTAAACATCCCAGCAGGGTAACCATAACCAGCCTTTCCCTTGCAGCTGCGATATCGTCTTGGCTTGCATAGCCGGAGGCTAGACCTGCGCCGTCGTCGCCTGCTTTTCAATCTTCCGGTTGCCGAATGTCTATCATGGTCGACCGATCACATACGTATTGAATGATTTTATCATCAGAAAGTGGAACGGACGACTCGATCGGCGAGCCGGTCGCTAACGATCGACTGTTCCCTTCCAAGTCGAGCTGTCTCTAGTGACACTAGTGAGTGTGTTCAGCAACATTTCCTCCTTAGGCACCACGTCTATCCAATCCGCCGAGATGGAGGTTTTAGCCCACGCCTATGTATATCTGTTGCACAAGGCACAAGGCACAGGGCACCGGACACAAGGTAGGCTTTTCGAGCAAGCCTTTTGTTATCCGTAAATTGGCCGGGCACATAGGTTGTGAGGAGATGTCATGATAATCCACTAGCGACGCTGTGTAGCTCTCGTGCATATATGTGTGGTAGGACGGAGATATAAGGAGCCTGACATCCCATATTTGTATATCTTCCTTCTCACCACCAACCTCCCCAGCCTGCTACTTTTCTCAAAGGCCTCGCTATCGAGTAACTCCTTCGCTAAGGTTACTTAAAGACCCTCGTCGAGCCGTGCCGCATCTCACTCGCTTCAGGTTGTAGTAGTGTTTACGCAGCTTCAGCTTACTTTCGCTATAAGTCTAATCCGCTCTGCTGGCGACTATCACATCCAAAATGAAGGCTGTTTACGCTGCGTTGGCCTTGGCCGCTTCGGTCATAGCAGGCAAAGACTACGAGACCGTTGTTACAGCTACCACCTACGAGACAACTACTGTCTGCCCGATCACCAACACAGTCACCTACGGAGGATCGTAAGTCATCTCTTGATATAAATATTCGGTATAACCCGCTCACCACCTACTAGGACCTACGAGGAGACTACCTACACGACCTCAACCGTAGTTGTCACCTCGTGCGCGGGAGGTAACTGCGGAGGCGAGGCTACCGTGACTGCTCCTGATACCACCGTTGGCACCACCACTGCCGTCGAGGTTACTTACACGACCACGTGCCCTGTCACAGAGACAGTCACCGCTCCTGGAAATACCTACGTTACAACGTATACTACGACTAGTGTAGCTGTCACCTATGTCGACACTACTTTCGTTGAGACAGTGACAGGACCCGGTGCCACGGAGACAACGGAGGACGTTGCTTACACAACTCTGACTGAGCTATGCCCTGTTACTGAGACCAAGACTCTGGGGGGTGACACAGTCGTTGTTACATGGACCTCGACCTCGACCGTCAAGACCGCAGTACCCACCACCGCTACCGCGTACACTTCCTACACCGTTACTGAGCACGTTTCTACCGAAGTCTTCGAGACTGTCACCTGCCCGGAGACAGTCCACACCACCGTCTCCGAGGGTAACACTATCTACGTTACCGAGACTGGTACCGAGACGCTCTACACCACTAAGGAGTACACCGTCACGCAGACCCTCCCTGTCACCCAGACTAAGGAGATTGATGTGACCGTCACCTCCGAGGCCACCGCGGGCGAGACCGTCACCGCCAGCCCGACCGTCTGGATTACTTACAGCGATACCACCATCGTCACCAAGTCCAAGTCCGCCACGACTGTGCCTTACCCTACCACAGTCTCCGTCCCCGCCTCCAGCAGCGCTGCTACCAGCGCAGCCGGCACTACCTACGTCCCCTCAGCCCCCGCTTCTTCTTCTTCTTCTTCCTCCACCGGTGTTCCCCAGGTCCCCTCCAGCGCCCTCGCGCCCCAGGCCACCCCTGTCGCTGCCGTCTTGGCTTTCGCCGGACTCGCAGTCCTGCTATAAGCTTGGCCGCTTTGAAACACAGGCAACCAACTAAAGCAAGCTAAGCTGCTTTTCTTTAAAAGGAAAAAAAAGAAAGACATCACGGATACAGGATAAAAGGGACGAGCATAAACACGGCAGATACCCCATCACGGGCGGGCAGCATTCATTTTACGGAACAAGGCACGGAGGGGGAACTCGATGGCGGCGGTACATACATAATCCATACCAATCTTTTCCAACGAAAAAGACGATTTTCGTTTTACGGGCCACGATCATGTCTAATGTTTAGTAGTATCTATCTATTGTCACGATGGGCACTACGGGGGATTAATTTGGCGGGGCTAATCGCCCCGTTGATTACCTATTTACATGTAGTCTGTAGTTTTTTGAAAGACATCTTCGTGTATATAGGTTTTTTATGAAGTCTTGCTACCAAGGCACATATTAATTTTAAGAAGTTAACTACCTAACCTACCTAACTACCTAATAAGTAATACTTTGCCCCGTACCGTATCCTGAATATTGTGTGAGACTGGTTAGATAATTCCCCTTGAGAGTCCGTTATCCCTCACGTCGGTGTGTGTGAGTGCACGTATGTATGTATGTATTCTCCTCTCGATACCGGGATCAGCAAGGCCAAGTACCGGAGGTAGACCGACGATATCGACGATCAATTCTCCATTCTACCACTCCTTGTCTCTTGTATGCAGTCGATAGTCTTAAGCGATGTTTTAAACCTACATAAATCAGCCCGCCTCTCGTGTAGGTAGTCAGCCACAGTATGTAGGAAGCTGGTTCTGTTGGTTATTTTCCCTCACCAACTATCCTTGCTAGCTATGTATATTTGGGGGTATTAAACACGGCCGGCTACGTCATAGATAGATACCTAGGTCTGTTGGTCTCCTCGCAGATGCAGCAGATGTGAGTAGTAGTTGTAGGACTAATAATAGAAGCATCTTGGGATCTTAATACCTAGGTAATTAATGTCTTTGGTTTATGTGACGCTGCTTTGTTACGGTAGCATGAGTCTCTTAGCCCTACTGCTACTTAATTATAAGTCTGTCTAGACGAAATGGCGTTAGGGCTGAGATATGTTCCAGTGCAATGGCTTGGGAATAAAAAAGAAAAACGGGTTCGCACTCGACCGTCCCGAGGCTTCTCCCTTAGCTTAATTCCTTATCTTTTCTCCGTCCACCTACCTCATACCCCAATCCATGTACGCCCTATTCTAATTACCTAACGACCGGCAACACTAGCGATAGCGAGTACACTATAGCTTAGTCCCCGTGGCCTTGCGGGATCTTCCAGTAGTGCGTATCGAACCACAAGTTTCCGCAAGCCTTTATTACGTCAGTCTTGCATTAGGTATGCGGCAGCGGCCGAGTTAGCCCGAGACTGGTCTTGTTCTGTTTTTATTACACACGGAAATTATTATACCAAACCAGAACCAAACCTGTATGTGAATAGAGCCTTACCCGATATTATATATGAATCGGGCATAAAGCTCAGCACAGAGCTCGGGACCCTTCAATTTTCACAATATACTGTATTCGATATGCTGCTACTTATCAACAAGCAAACTGGTGCAGCCCAGCATCAAGGCCAATGAAGAATTTACAGTCCAGAATTTCGTAAACTTGGATGACGTATTACTGTCTCGACATCAATCTCCTTGCTTGTCTGTTCGTCGTTCCGTCGTGATATCTAGTGTCAAGAACCAGCCGTATTTCTAAAACACAGGTTTCGCCGACTATAACACAAGCATATACGCCTCCTCCGCCAGAACATGCATACGTACAATCAATGTCTCCCCCAACACCGTTACTGCCCTTAGATCCGGTCCGTACACCCCTAAATGATACACGAATTGAATAGACATGCACGTACTAGGTAAGCACATGCAGCAAAAGGTCATCTAGACCTCATCTGTGCACAAAGCTCTGCGTCCGCTGTTATGCCAGGTGCCAAGGTCTACGCCTCCCGAAAAGTGCCACATCCTCCTTAGTTGCCTGAAACCCTAGATGCCATCAAGGCTGATGCGATTCCTAATCGCTCAGCGCCTGCAGCGCCTGGTTTAACGGCACTACCCGCAAACTACGCCCTCTCTTAAGCCCGGTGCTCACATTAGTAACTGTCGGGCTGTCGGCGTCGCGCCACTTGCGGAATACGCTCTTCATATCCCGAGGGATACCCTCTAGCACCACGGTCGAAAATGGAACAAACGGCCTATCTTCCATTCCCGCTGCGAGAATGCCGTACTCCTGCGCGAAGTCTAATGCGTTATGGAACGACGCGTATTGTGCCTGGGCTCGGGACCCTACGATGATGTACAGCTCAAAGAACGCATCCAGGACGTAAATATTCGTTGGCCGTAGATCCGCCTGCGAGAAAGGGGATATCTCAACGATCTGCGGGGTATTACGCATTAATAGGGACTCGTGTGACAAACGGGGAAATGTGTGAAACCTACCTGCTGCTTGGAGGCTGCGTTTGAGCAGAACAGCCTGCAGCAATATTTATCGTAGTTCGGCTTGAGGCGCCAATGATCGGCAGACATAGCCTTGGACTCGACATTGAAAAGATCCCAGAAACTTGCCGGTTCGTGACCGTCTTCAATTTCTTCCATCTCGCCGGACAATGCGTAATCCATCCCTATGAGGCGTGCACAGCTTAGCTCGTCCACCCCGCTGCCCTTGCCCTTCCACAAGTAACATTTGCCAGCTGTCGATACAACGTACGGGAATCCAGAGCATAAAGATGCAGGAGTGAAGTCGACCTCATCAAAGACGATATGCCCTTGGTATCGTCGTCCGCATAGTATATGTGGAGCTAGCGAATCAAACTTGTTACCCGAGCCTCGCTGGACAATAACTATACCTCCCAGCGCCTGTAGAAACTCGGAAGTCTCCTTGCCTTGATGAAGTTTGATCAGCCTGCCGCCTAGAGCTCGTGCTTCCCGTGATGCGAATAATAACGCATCGTCTACAGTAGAGCGGGCCACATCATCTCCAGCCCAGAAGTATACCTCTGTGAGCTTCCTGCCTGATTCATCCTTGAACGTGTGAGAGCAAATATACATCTCTCGCTCGAACAACGTTCGCTCGTTATGGGCCGGAACAGGCAATTTTTTGCCGTCTGCTGAGAATTGGAATAGTTGAGCGCTCAATGTCTGAACCCTAGGCGGTGCTAAATTCAGTCGATGCATTAGCAATTCAGCGGCATCTACGTTATAATTTTTGCGAGTACGCTCGGGACCGAAAAAATCGCCAAGCAGGGTTGATGCGTCGAAGGACTGCTTAGTGGGTGACCGTACTGGCGACGACGTCTCGGGTAGTGTCCTTGAGCTAGGACTAGGTGACGACTGTGGGGTTTGTTTAGGTTCTGCTGGTAGTGGACGAGGAGGTAGTGCCTTTTCTAGCCCATTATGTTTTGGAACAGCTGGTAAGGGTCGCTCGATCGCAGGGGGAGTCTTTACAACTTCCGGTGAAGTAGAAGGGCCGAAAGCATCGTTAGAGGGTAGCTTCTTCGGACCTAAGGAGAGCGGTTCAGGCAGTGGTATCCTAGGCTTGTTTAGTAGCGGCGACTGGGGTTGCGATTTAGGTAGATCCTGAATAAGAGGCTTATCAGAAGCTGGTTTTGGCTTGGCCGTAGAAGGCATTTCATCGTCCCCCTTCACATCTTTCACCACCTGAGGCTCACCCGTTTTCCCAACAGCTTGTGTTGTATCATCAAGAAATCGTGACATTCGTCTCACATCTAGCTTCTTCGGAGATGGCGGTTGCGAAGTGGATTCTTTTGGCTCGTCGGATACCTTCGTTGGTGACCGTTGCCTCCTCTGAGTTGCGAAGGTAGCTACCTGTTCATGGATTTTGTTCGTACCCGGCGTCTTACCGGAGACTTCTTCTGACGCCGCTGCGACGAACGGATTTGTAAAAAGGTTAGGAGATATAGGCTGCGGGCTTGGCCTTGCCGGTTCAATTTTGTCTACATCGTTTGCATGAGGCTTTGACGCAGAATCGAGAGGCTTCTCTGGCGATACAGAACGTCCAGCTGGCATATGGTTAGATGAAGTTTCCTCAGGTTCGCGAGAGGTCGCGGTTGGTGCTGAGGTCGGCGCGCTTCTCTTCGGCCCTCGAGCGCGACCCTTAGTCATGTGTGTCAACTTTGGCCCCGAGCCAGCCTCGTTATCGTTGACTTCAGAAGAAGCGTCGCGTGAGTTCGACGTCGACGTGCCAGAGGGAGATGTGGGAGCTATGCCAGGCGGCCCCCTAGCAATTAGGCCAGCAAGAGCAGGGTTGAATCGACCAACCAAGCCACCACCTGATGTCTTTCCTCGTAGTCGGCCAGGAACATTTATGTCCTTAGAGATTGGTACGGGTTGAGCCGAACCTCGCCTCGGGATGATTGGAAGTTCTGTTTTGGAAGTGGAATCCACAGTTAGATCGAGGTTCCCTGTACCACCAAATCTTTGTGACTTGCTAGACGATGTATCCTGGGCAGAATCACGTCTTGGTACTATACCTGGCTTTTGAAAATCTGCAATTGCCGCGCTGACTGCAGCGGCGGAGTCTTGGCCAAGCGTATTCGATCTCAGAAGTGTGTTTCGCCTGGCTATACCCTCGGGAACTGGCGTCTCACTTGCCGTGCTATCATTCCGCGTCACACCACGGCCCTCTGATTGTACTGTCTGGAAATCTTTTTTCTTTGTCAAAATAGCCTCCTTGAAGTCGTCAACACGTTCTGTCTTCTGCGGGCCACCAGTAAAATTAAGGGATGCTTTTCCTTTTAGAATATTACCCTTAAGTTCATCTGGGGCAACATAATTTTGCGTTGTTGTCTTTCTAAGTTTACTGAAGACATTCTTGAACTCGCTTTCTTCGTTATCATTAGAAGTGGCTGGAACTTGTCTAGGTTTCAAATTCGCTCGGAAATCCAACTTGGGAGGCATCTCAGATTTTGGTTTGCTAGCGGACAAAGGCAGTTTCGCCGGGTTGCGATCCAAGTCCGGGCTCTTAACGCCCGGGGTTATAGGGCTTTGAAGATCTTTCGGCGTGCCGCTATCATCAGGGCGGGCGGCGGTGCCTACATTAAGAACGCCCAGACCAACCGGAGGCTTCGTAGTAGTACCAGGCGCAGAAGACCTCATAAGTCCACCAATACTGACTTGATGCTTATGCGAAATAGTCGGTGACCTGCTCCTCTCGGTACTAGAACTGGCAGCCTTCTCGGCTTTTGCTTTCTGAAGATCCGCCATCCAAGATGGTTGACTTTTCGAAGGGCTATGCCCCCGCTTGGGAGATTCGGGTTTGTTCAGAGCCGATTCAAGCCAGCTAGACTTTGTAGGGCTCCATCTCCTAGAATCCATTGTCTTAGAGGGGACGGTAGGTATAGCTCGACCTGAATCTTGCTCTGGTGAATTCGGCAAGGGCGTGGTTTCAACTTTGGGCGGATCGGCAAGCTTCTCGGCAGGCTTCTCGGCGGCAGCCAAATCCTCTTCTTGACGCTCTTCCTCTTGATTAGACGAAGCCTTCGGCGAAGCTTCCACAGAGGGGTCACGGATTATACTGGCAGGTCTTGACCTAGGCCCACCACCCGTTTTATGAGAGACAACCGGGTCTACTCGAGGCGCACCAGTAGGCGAGTGGACGCTCCATCTCTTGATACTGTCGGATCGCTTCATCATGGCGCTCTGTACAAACCCGCCCATTCCCTTCGTTGGTGAGCCTGACCTGTCTAGTTTAGATGGCGAAGTTCGTCCCGAGGAAGGAGACATGATGGGAGGCTGTTCTTGATCACCCTCTGTCTCCAGCTGGGAATCGTTGTTGGGGGGGTCCAGTTTCTGAGCGGCCGATAGAGGTAAAGGCGAACCTAGTCTATTTTGTGAGCCGGGGGAGACTGGCTGTGGATCTGTATCATCTTTTTCAATTTCGCTAGACGGTGCACGCGACATTCCCGGGAGCTGAGCCGGCGTTGGAGAAATATCAGCCGTTGGGCTATCCTCAACCTGGTTCTTCCTATATGCAGCAGAAGTAGCACCCCTGTCCGCAGTTTGACGGAACCATGAGGGGTCTTTAGAGGACAATGCTGAAGTAATTTGATCTCTAGATATAGTTTCGGCTGCCGAAGGAGGTTCAGGAGGGGTATTCCGTGCCGCGTTCTCGGCAGCAACTACAGATAGCGGCCGACTTCGTGAACGTTCGGAGGCTTGTGAATTGGGCCGTCTCTGCCATGAAAGCCCCCTAGCTCGTGTAGGAGATGTTTGGGGGGTTTGTTTCCCTTCCAAGTCGATTGGAAATTCGTTCTCTTTCGTGGGCGAACCGGCAAATGATCCTGGGCTAACCATTTCCTCGGGGTTGGGAGAAGAGAAGGATTGAGTACCAGCAGGAGGTTCCAGGACAGGAGATGCGTCTAGGTTTAATCGGCCAGGCGAGGCAGGAATGTCGACGTGGTGGGCGGTGGGCGGTGGGGTATTTACTGGCGAGGATTTTTGAGGTGAAATAGACCTGGCACGCTCTAGGAGAAAATATTAGTTTAATTAAACCTTGCGTCCAAGGTAGAACCATGTCCCAAATCCTCCTCTAGAATTTAAGAGGGTGACATTGCCCACGGGAAGCGATCAATTAGACCAGGAACGGATAGAATAATTTCATACCTGCGCGCCGAGCTTCTCTTTCTTTTCTTTCTCGTAATATTCTCTCTTCAAGCTCTCGTGAACGGGCTTCGTCTTCTTCAATACGTCGATCACCCAGTTCCTTAACCTGGAGTAGGAATTTGGATACGTCTTCGGACATTTTTACTTTTTTTGGTTTCTTTTTTTTTTTTTTTTTTTTACCGGTAGATCCAAGGATCAATGCGAATGCAGACACTTTACGGCACAACACGTAGGGGGGGCGGAATAGATAGGTAACCTAGATTCTCGTTTACACCGTTCTCTTCGGCCACGGGCACGGAGTCGGGTATGGGTCGAAAAAAGGGAAAAAAAATAACAAGAAATCTTGCTTCTTGTTGTTGTTATCGTTTGAGATGATGTGCTTAATTAGGAACCAAGCCTAATAAATATCTAAACAGTCCAAGTCATATATGAGGACTGAAGACTCCTAATATGAAATCAAGTTACGAAAGTTTACGGTAAACAAAGTTGATTAAACAACTGCGGAAAGGCAAGTCCAAAGTGGACTCCTGGTTTCTCCGGCTGTCATCGTCTGAATCCCTGCAGGCCGCCGTTTCCTTGTCAGCTTGTCTGCTTGTGCGATCAAATGATGCCCACCGAGTTTAATCCACAACCAATGACGAAGCCCGCTTATTAGCCCCAACGGAGCCTAAGCCTAGCCGCCTGGCAACTGGCTGCCCGGTGCCTGACAGCGCACCAAATGGTGAAACCGACCCGGAAACCTTATGGACATTGATCCATTTAAGGGTTAGCGTCAATGCATACTACAAGCTGTTGGTTGTCAATGTAAACCGACCAAATGTCAACTTTCAACTCTCCGAATTCGTACTGTAATAGGCAAATTGATAAATATGGATGGCATGAAGCTTTCATCTAGTCTGTCACATCGCGTTTCGTATAATTCTTATGTTGTATGCATCGACATAATGTCATGTGTTTACATCTACGAAGTACATTAAGTCCGTCAATACAAGAATAACCTCGCCTTCGCATCTTCAACCACCCACGACAATCCCTCCTTCAGATTCTCCCCCGTCATAGCGCTGCATCGTAGGATATGCCACCGATGTGTCCGGATCGCTTCGAGCTGAAGTCCCTCCAGTATTTCGGTCTCGTCCATGCAGCCTTGGACATCGGTCTTATTAGCGAAAACTAATAAGCTAGCTCCTGAGAGACGCTGTGTGCCGTGCGTCTGTTAGCCATGTCTTCACGTCTACAAGATCAACCAACCCATGGAGCAATGACAGGACATGCGAACCTCTTCTTGTAGTAGCCCATGAAGCTCTTCTCGGCAATCGTCAATTCTTAGCCGGTCTGTCGCATCGACAACCCATATGAGGGCGTCCGTTTTCTCGAAGTAGTTGCGCCAATATGATCTCAGCGTTTTCTGACCACCAACATCCCCTATTTCCATTCAATTCCCATCCATTGATTAGTCAGTGCTTAGCTCAACTCACATATGTTCAATTTATATCTATCGAAAGGTCAATATTATTCATCATAACACTCGGAACGGAATATAGAGGAAAGGCCCCGAAGCTCACCCCTCATAGTCGATCGTCTTGATGATGAAGCCCAACGTCGGGCTAACTGTATTGACATCCTCGTTCATTACCCTCTTAACGATGGTGGTCTTGCCTGCATTATCAAGGCCCCTATTCCACTAGTTATTAGCCCAACTAATCCACTTGTAAATTACGGGGATCCGGAAGAGTTAAACTTACAGCATTAGGATCCTCATCTCCTTATCCTTTAGCCGCGCCTTTCGAAGAATGGACAACATGTCTACTGGGTCTGTTCGGATAGTATGATGAAGGTCGTATGAAAGGTATAGAACTAAAATTTGCCTTGATTGAATAATCTTAAAGATGTTGTAGACCTTAGGCTACATCTTAGAGATGGTTGAATTCGCATTTATTAGACTATCGTTTAATTCGTTGCCTATTCTCACGTGATGTATTCAATTCAACATAAACTCACTACGTTTACCTACACCTATGCTAATAAACATCATTGACCCTTTATAACAAGAGCCCTCACGTATATCATAAAATTCTAGAAGCTCAAACAGAATCTTTAGGTATACTATTCATAGGTGTCGGAGACAAAACACTGCTTAAAAAGCTACTATCTATCGATACTAACGCCAAGAAATGCCACGCGGCTAGGTAACCGTGACCCGTCTCTCACAATTTATGCCCATTGGCCTTTAGGTACCTACTAACGGAGTCGATTCGTTTGCCTTCTTCAAAATCGACTTCTTCGCGGGACCTCTATGTCTGAAAGGTTTGAGCCTATTGATATCCTGGGCGTCCGCGTACTGGCGAACGTGAACTTTGCCAGCAGATAATTCTAGCAAATGTCTCTCCCACGGACCTATGTTCTCTTCCACCAATGTCCGAACAGGCGGAGCACCCTTCTCAGGACCTATATACTCCCAGACCCAGCGTGATTCCTGCGAGGAACTGCCTCCCTGCGTAGTAATGCTTTCGCTTTCCTCTGTATCATAAATGGCTTTGCCAGGAACAGCGCTGCTACTGTTGGCGGTATTAGATTGCCTCCCTCCAGTATCACTGTTGGCTTTCGGTCCCCAACTAGCATCGTGCGGCACAGGGTCAGGAAATGTCTGAGCGACGCGACGAGGACGCCACGCTCGTGCTAAGGCTTTACATTCCCAAATTTTAGAGTCGTTGAGTCCCAAGCCCTCACACGCAAGGCGGACGCGCACCGAACTGTGGATGCGCTCGTTCGTATCCTTAAGAAAGGCACCTGTAGGCCGTCCAGTCTCGGGATTCATCTTTCTGTACATGCCAGGCGAACGAGTAACGCGTCCAGCGAGATCATAAATTGGGCTCTTCACCGCTTGGATGGTATGCAGGGACCACGGGCGGACAGGTTTGTTCGAATGGAAGATAGGCAATGCTGCCCAAGGTCGGGGCTCTTTCTGTCGAATGGCCCCGCAGCATCCACAAGCGGAGTCCACGAGCTTTTCGCGTCTCGTCTTTTCCGGCGTCAAACTGTGGTAATACTTCACATTGCGATCGTGGAGTCTCTCAATGGCGTCGTCTATGAATTCGCAGCCAACGGAAGAGAGTTGATCCATCATCCCTATTCAGGCGAATAAGCATTGGCACACATATTAGAAAGGGGAAACTGACAAGCAAGGGTTATATTAGAAACGCCTTGATCAGCCCAACCGCCTCCCACATTTCCATGACTGCCAGGAAACCAAACTTGTCGAAGATCTGAAGTGTCTCGATATTCTGGTTGCCGCTCCCACAATGTCGGGCTGAACGGACCGCGGGTCTCGTCTAACGCGAGGGCATGAAACCCATGCTCGATCTTATTAGACAGTCTAGTATTATAGAACCGGTACGTAAATCATTGTCAGTATATATAAATCAAATAGCTTGGGGTAGGTTAGACTTATTCATGGCTACGCCACTTAATTCCGAGTCGAGCTAAAATCTCCCTCGTCTTCCCCTGGGGGACACCCAACGAGCCGACTGTATCCCATACACCTGTCAAGATGGTTAACCTTCGTTACCTGCACTCAGTTTACGGTGTTTCGTTAGCTGTACCAATGGCTTTGACCTTAATCAAATCTCCTTTGCCTCTATCTTGGCGTACCCGGGAATATCCATTCTACTACTAATTAGCAATTTCAAGGTAGACGGGGATCTTATCAACACAATACCTTAACAAGCATGTCCCGGTACCTGTCAGCAGCTTGAGGTCCTTTTGGTTTATTCGGGAATGGTGTCTCTGGAAATGGGTCTTCGTAATTGGGATTCATCCAGTTCTGCATATCTTTGAAGACCGGATAGAAGAACTCCATGCCCTCGCGGGTAAGCAAACCCAGATCAGATATCATTCCGCCGATAGACCTCGCAGTGAAAGCTCCGCGGCTGAAGCCGACAAGAATGATTTCGTCCCCATCTACGTAGTTCGCACAGATATAAGAGTAAGCCTCGCGAATATTCTAGTTTCAAGTCAGCTTCTATGACCGCGGAAGGAATAATCCAATCTAACCTCTGCAATTCCGATTCCGAATGCACCGCCTACAACTCTGTCGACGGGACCTGCTCTAGAGCCGACGCCGGACTGATAATAGATAATTTGGAATGTGCCATTAGAACAGTTCCTTTTGAAAGCTCTGGAGATCCGCGTTACGTTCGATGGGATTTGGAGAGTCGGTACGGGTTTGGAGGCAGATGGCTTGACGTAGCCATTGTCCCTAAAACATATTAGTACTCGTTTAATTGGGTGTGATCTGTATATGTCGTACGAATTCTGCCAAGTCCCATCGCAACAAATGACAATACGCTTCTTCATGGTAGAGAGAATTTGGTTCGTAATTTCGTGTCAACCCTTGATCACGACTCGGTCTAATAAGATTATTACGAAAGGTAAACAAAAAAAGAAAAGAATACTGATTATATATCAACTCGTTGCTAGAATTGAATATTCAATCTCATAAGGGATTGGCGATGGTAAGGCTACCTATATATTGACTTGTGTTACTAGGAGAGGTTACATATTAAGGGGCGAAACTGAAAGGCAACAAATAATACCCAAGGCCCTTAGTGACTTCTATTACATCCATGTGATAAGCAAAGGAAGGTCATACTTGATTAAGAGAGCTATTACCATAAATAGAGACAACAGCTCCTACTCATCTTGAGAATCTAAGTTCTACAAGTCAGGTACATATTGCATCAGACGTAACTACCTTCAAGTCATTAGATCTCTGTGTACATATGATATGACGTAGTCCAAAGTAAACGGCAACGCCGACGTAGTGAGTAGCTTAATATGCCGTGTAAGTGCTCTCTTGACTTCTCTACACCGAAGGACATGACATCAATATCCGAATTCGAGAGTTATTTATAAGACTATTAGTCAAAGCTCTCTACTAACTAGGACGTTGAGGCTCTGTAGGTAGTTACCCTAACGTACACATCTGGACGAATGGGCATATTCCCAAATTATATCATTACTTGATCTAGGTTTACACTAACCATATTCCCCTGTCTACATAGAACGATAGTTGCTATAATAATAGTAGGTAAGACTGAGTGCTGGAATCAGCGTCTCTCTTAGGGGTTACCAACCTAGTATATATGCATAACATCGATATATTCATATTAGTCATACATCGTACATACCTGTAATGCGCTAATACCATAAAATGATTTCAATATTCTTTCCATCTGACAGCTCTGATCGACTTCTAACTACCTAGACTAAAGAAAACATTAACTTAGGTAGGTAGCTTGAATAATTGAAACTGCCTCTTAGTATAGGTATTAGCATATTCCACGAAGATCACGATACTCTTACTATTTTAAGACCCCCCTCAAATTAAACGTTCTAACAAAATTGCCCATGCAAGTCAAGCGACCAATATCTAATATCTACCTAGGAGGTAGTTAGTCCATCTGCCTAAGCAATATTAGAGATATTGCCTTACCTTAGCTGAGCTCAGCCATCTCATCTCAGCTAACAGCCTCATCCTAAAGGCACGGTAGCAGTCACACTGCTCATTACCAGACTATCACCCGACGTTTACCAACAAGGCGCAACTCGGAGAACGTCGGTTCAGGACGTATGCAGCCCGGTCCAGATGTAGAACCAACGATCCGTTCTTACATGCATAGCCGCTGTGGCACGCATCCGATATTCATTAACCTGGCCAATAATCGCTCTGAGCCTCATGCCATGCGCTGCAGGTAATGGATTGATCCTTCGAGCGTGTTTGCATATGCGACGCGTGGGGGGGGCATCTCCCGGTTGAGCTCCTCCAACAGTTACATAATAATGGTCACAAGGGTTTGCGTGGCTGAATCGTCTGTCTTATCAGCTAACCTCGACTTACACATTTACCCCTCATCCAGTTCTTGTTCTTCCACATGGTACCGTGCCGAACTGCTGAATAAACAGTCTAGCTACATCTTCCGTTGGTATATAAGTATGAGCTTAGGCACACCTCGTTCTCGTAGGTTCTCGCGTTACACCATGTTGGTCTTTTCAAATGTAGCTACCCGGTAAACAAACACCATGGCGGGCGAGCCCAAAGATTCGGGCGTCTCGTTCGCGCCGTTTTTCGATCGCTGCAAGCTACCGGCAAGCGTTAAACATGACTGTGACACATTCGTAATGACAAGATATTCCGAGACAGCGCGACCCGCTCCATTTCAGGGTTACTGTTCGTATACGGTCTTCGTCGGAGAGGAAATAGTCGTCCAGTTTCGACCATTGGCCCATAAGCTCGATACCAGCATCACGAATGCCGCTTGCAATATCTTCGGTCCTCTAGCTCCTGAAACCGAGTTTCTAGGGGAGTTAGGAAGTACAGGTCTTTACGTCTTCTCCATGAGAAGAATACCAGGGGTCTCTTTGACGGACCTTCGCGCCGAAACCAAGACTCTACAGGCAAAGTCGCGACGAGAACAGATTGTGCGCGATTTCGCGCATCTACAAGTCACGAGCTGGGACCATGGAATAAGCCATGGTGATGTACGGGAGAAAAGGACGGTGGGCTCCTCATTACGCTGGCGAATGGAGCTGATGGCAAAGAATCTCCCCTCTCGGTTTCGCGGCATCGCGAGGTCTGTTGTTGCTGACATACCGGAAATCGAGGCCCTACCATGGACATTAAGCCATGGGGATTTCCTGCCTTCGAATATAATGGTATGCCCGGAATCCGGAAAACTGTTGGGTTTGCTCGACTGGGCCGAGGCCGAATATCTTCCTTTTGGTGTTGGTATGTATGGCCTGCAGGAACTGCTCGGGGAAGACAAAGATGGGCATTTCGTTTACTATCCCGAAGCCAAGCACCTCCGAAATTTATTCTGGACGGAGCTCCTCTCTAAAATTCCCGAATTATCACAAAATTCTAAGCGTGTTGCGCTTGTTCGAAAAGCGCAAATTCTAGGCATATTCCTATGGCATGGTATCGCTTTCGACGACGGCAAACTAGATCGTACTGTTGAAGAGGGGAAGGATGACGGAGAAATTGAAAGACTGGATGCTTTTCTGTTGTCTCGTTCAGGGATACGACCTCTAAAGTTACGGTCTATCCATCCGATTATGGACTCACCTATTGCGTTTATACGTGGGCTTTTGTCTAGGAAAGCGTGTTGTTAATAGTATCTCCTATGGGCTCGTACGGTAGGAGTAGCGTGTAGGCTTACGCATGTATATGTATAATGAATGTTTAATATGCTTACAAGTGCAATCGCTCTAGAACAAGCAAAGTGGTTACAATACATTCTTCCGAATAGGACCGACGAATCAGAACCCAGTAAAGACTCAGTATATACTCTTTAAGGAATTAAATAGGTAACTTGGACCAATCATGTTTGAAGGGTCTTGTACTATACCTCCCTCCCAATTAGCACCTAAAGATATCATGCATCCAGCGTAGCATCACTCGACTGATACCACCCAAGGAACATCTTGACGTCCGAACTGATACATACCTTATAGCCATAAGAAAACCCCAGTTTACTATAACTAACACGTACACAAATTCACTATCATTATCCTCTAAGAGCCCTACAAAGACCCATTCGCTCCACGACCATTCGTCACACCACTCCCACTCCCACTCCCGCTTGCCACAAACGCCTTCTGCCACGGCAGCGGCTCCTCCGCCGGCCGCACAGGCCCCAGCTCTCCCTCCCGGCGCTCCCGCCACGCCTCGATATCGCGATGATCCACGAAATTCCCATGGAACCCCAGCCGCAGCCTCAGCGGCAAGTGCACCGTCGCCAGCGGCCCCTTGGCCAAGTCCAGCGCGTCCCAGATCACCACGTCGTTGCGCAGCTCGTCGAGCTGGTTCTTCAGTGCCGCTAGGTACCCCTCGCCCTCCCTGCCGCCGTCCCGCGGGATAAACACCGGCTCCTGGAACGTCGCGGTCGGCCCCGCGAAATACACGTCTTCTCGGCCGGGTCTGCTGCTGCTGCTGCTCGCGCCCGCGGCGTCCTCCGACTCCCATGTGTAGTGCGCCATGCAGTTGAACAGTCCGCCCGCCGGGGGCCCGCAGCGCGCGAAGTCGTAGGGCCGCGTGGGGTCCACGCGCAGCTGCCAGAAGTGTTCGTACTTCTTGGTTACGTAGCGGTCGTCGATGCGGGAGAACTCGCCGTTCGTGGCCCATTCGATGGCCGCCTTGACGCGCGTGCCGGATTCGGCTTTCGGGTCGAAGATCCATCGACACGTTGGGCTGCTGAGGCGTTGTCGCCCCGCTAGATCGGGTTTCGAGCCGTCGGGGGGGAACCAGAAGAATACGTTGCCGTCGGCGACTGTAAGGTCGAAGACGATGTGTCCGTCTTCGTTCTCGTAGCACCCGGCGACGTGCCCGTGGAATCCTGTATGAGGATGGATGTTAGATAGTTTCTAGACTAAGTGCGATATGTGTACGTCGCTAGAGGAATCCCTTTGGAAAGATACCTACCGTTATCAGCTCGGAACCACTTCACATCCTCCGGCTTGCCACCGCGTCTCGGTACGATACCGTAGACCTGGTCCTCATTCGGGTCCCACGCGAATTTATTTCCGCCGGCCTTAAGACGCTCGAGGGACATCTTGAGCGGCGTGAGCGGGAGCACCGTGTAGTTCTTCGAGACGCCGCAGTCGTGTATCATGCCGGCGAACGGCGCCTTGAACCACAATTCCTCGGTCTTCTGGCCGTCGGCGTTGATAGTCCAAGTCACGACGTCGGCTTCGCAGTCGGAGCCGTTCGTCCCAGCCTCGTATGCGAAACACAGCATCTCGCCGGTGTCCGGGTCGAACTTGGGGTGCGCTGTGAACGTCGGAGCCGTGATCTGGCCCTCGAAGTCGTACCGTCCGATGGTCTCCAGCGTGACGGGGTCCATGGCGAATGGCGGGCCGTCCTCCTTGCTTGCCAGTAGCATGCCTCGCCAGAACGTGACGTTAGTATTGCTGACGGTGCGGATCACGCCCTTGACGCTTTCGTTGTCCGTGTAAGGATTCCGGTACCGACCAAATAGGCTCTGTCGTGCCTCTTCCTCCTTTAGGAACTTATCTGTCCGCACATATCGCTGTTTAAAGTCGGCGTGTCCGTCCTTAATGCGGATAGCTGTGACGCTGCCTATTTCCGCCATTCAGTAAGTTATAACGTGGCCCTTTCAGGGGGTAAATATATGATATAAACGACCCCCTTTCTCTTGACGTACCATCACCGTTCTGTTGGGTTGACGATCAGCGACGGAGTTATCAAGGTAAGAGATGAGTAAACTTACGAAATGAATATCATCTTCAAATATCGGCGGAAATCGATGATCCTATACCCCTATTAGCAGAGTTTTGTTACAATCCGTGTATATTCTAACATTTCCCACTCACCGGCTGCACACGATAAAAGGTCCCGTTGATATCGCGAGGGATCTCGCCTGTAACTTCGAGATCGATTATGTCTCCCTCGAAACGCGAGGGCTTGTTCATCGACGAGAATGCCGCCGTGTCCGGGAACTTGACCCGGCTACCTGTCCTCTTCCCATTGCTATACGGATACAACGAAACCTCAGAGGCGATAGCTTCAAGATGCGCCATAATTCGCAACTATCTCGTTAGTAATTGTAAAATACTATTATGTTAGAGAACCTCGCTCGGAAACGTCTATGATCCCCATGTGAAATACAACGTAGACCATACATTATGGCTTACAGACGGAGCCGGTTAGAGGTACCGGCCGCGTAGAATAACCCGATCACAGCGTGGTATAGGTAAACTAACTAGACCATTTAAGGTGTGGAGAAGCCGGTATGATCTTCACTCGATCGGCAGTTGTACTACGACTCCAGAATAGGCATATGAGAATACGTTTAAATAAAACAACTTCATGTATGTAACTAGGTTATAGGCCCGTGTCTACCATGGATCTCAGCGTTGGGGAAGTGGGGTTGACTATATGTAGAGACTCTTTACCCCAGATTCCAGGCGACCCCTTATTCCCCTTTAGGCTATATGTTGCAACCCAGCACTACGCGTTCTGAACTAGATCAGGCAGAACACTCGCCGAGCCCTCGCTCGCCCATTTCTTCCCCGCTCCAGGCCGAGTCTGTCCCTCCGGCAGTGCTAGAGTGAGCGGTGGCTCGGACGTGCTTGCATCCTTACCATAGTGCGGCGCGCGAAGATCGTCATCCTCAGTCTTCTTTCCCGTCACCGGATGAGGGTAGTGGAAAGGCACCACGCGCGTGTCAGGCCAGAGCATCTTCTGCTCGATGATCTCGTCGGGGCCTAAGGGGTCCTCGGGATAGGTCTCGCTAGGCCATGGAATGTAGTTCTCCTTAGTTAGAGACCAGCCCTTCTCATAGTCAGCATGCCAGAATGGGAAGTATCGATATCGGAATAGCTTCCAGACACCGTTCTCTTTGATATACTCGTTCTCATAGAGGCCACCTTCCCACCATTGAACATGCCCGCGTGGATGGGTCTCTTTAACAGATTGGTGCGTTCCGGCCTGCATCAGAGCGCGCATTCTGCACCAGGCATGTGTTCCGCTAGGGTCGACATCGACAATATCTTGCATCATAATGTGATCTAGCAGAAAACCACGGACTGGGCCGTTACGTCCATTAACGAAGGACTGCTGAAAACGGCCATTGTAGAGTCGTTTAACGCCTTCTTTTCCCCTATATCGCGACCCAAGGAATTCCACATAGGTATCTGGATGATCCGCGTACATGTCCACAACCTAAATACACATCGGTTAGTATAGATGATATAGAAAGTAATAAACCTTCGCCTACCTCATTATATAGGCACTTGTCAAGATAGTAGCCATATTTGAAGTGAGTTTTGCGTATTTCGGCTTCGTCTGAGATGCGCGAGACCTCGTTTTGGAGGAGAGCGACCTGCTCCTTCAGCTTTGATTGCTCAGCTCCCATGATGTCCAGAGGCGAATTTCACTTGAGACTATTGTTGAATGCACACTTCCAAGAGGATTCGCATCTGGCCTTGACTCGGCTTGATATTTAGCCAAGTATATATGTGCCTCCAAATCGAGCTCATAAAGACCCCTGTTCCGAAGGGCCATATTGGTAAGAGCTATGTCATGGGACTATACTATAGCTAGTCCCTGAAGCTGGGCTCGGCAGATATTCCCAGGTCATTCAATACCAAAAGGAGCATCGTCTAATCCGTGGGTGCGGGGAGCCTGTCGACCCCGCGAGAATTTGGAGACTGTAAATGAAGCAATCAAAGTTGAAGCCGGTTCAAGATAATAACATAGTCTCCAGTAACTTGGGTAATTGTATTCCTGCGGGAGAGCTATGACGAATTATGAAGTCATACTACAGCCAATAGACGTTATCCCCAACCGAGTAAAAATTTAACAATTACTTCTAACGGACGGGTTTCTGTTAGATGCTGGACCCAGCGGATGAGAAATCGTTGAAATCTCGAAGTTGCATCTTGGGTATGTAGTAATAGGGGTAAAACTAGGACCCAACCTGTAAGCACCATGACGAAGCGGACCTAATACATATCAGTATATAAAGAAGAATTATACTTAATCGCATATTTCACTTAATTAACAGACTTATATACCTAAGGTCAGTATCAATTTGCCCATAGAATCAATCTAAAAAAAATAATGGAGCTGTCCTGGAACAGATCACTTACGGAGTGTCGCCTCTGTATAAAGTAGTGATCTTGGGAGGTATGTTATCCGTAGCTTCAGATAGTGTCTTCTGTGTTCGAAGGACGGCGAATGAACCTTCTCTAGGTTCCTTAACGCGTACTTTAGAAGGAACTTTCTCATTATCTTACAAAAGGTGTAGGCTAAGGTAGGGGAAGGGGCAATGGACATCATAATTGAGCTTAGCTGGTGGCTGATTAGTTTCTCGGTACACCCAAGTCAATATTTTAATCTTTAACATTAAACACTCTTAGAAATATAAACTATAGACACAGATTTTATTATCAAACACAGTCTATAACTAGGTGCATTATTACTTCACCTCACTACTCTATCCCTTCGGCATCAGCCGAATTTGCTACGATACCTTCACGATGAAACTGGCTGGTTTCCTACGCAGTTACGCGGTTTCGGCATTGTTAGCTGCTCTACCTATAGTCGGGGCTGCCATAGATGAATGCGATGGGGTCCTGGTCTCGGAGGTATAACTCTATCCCGTTGAGACAGGCCGCAAAACTGACAAAGGAGTATAGACACTTCCTGTCCTTATAAACTCGACTGCCCTCTACGAGCATTTGCAGGCATTGCAAAATATCGCAGACGAACACGGTGGGAACAGGATAACCGGCTCCGCTGGTCATAACCAAACTTTACAGGTACACAACATTAGCTATACACATATATACGGCCACTAACCCGGCGTCCAGTATATTCAAGATCACATGAAGTCCCAGGGTTACTACGTGGAAGTCCAGCCTTTCCACGATTTAATACAGATCAACGGCAAAGCTACCTTGTGGGCAAACGGTGAAGCTTTCGAAGTTGAGCCGATAGGATAGTCTCCTGAATGCGCTTTTACTGAAGAGCCTCTCATAGCTGTTGATGGGGCAGGATGCAGAGCTGTAAATTAGATCAATATTAACTTATTCTAACGACGATTGCTAACATCATTAGATTGACTACCCGCAAAGGGCTTTCGGGGCGGTTGTAATGGTTGAGGCGGGCGGCTGTTCTCTGTCTGACAAGTCGATAGCCGCGGGTCAAGCTGGGGCTATAGGACTTTTAATGTATGAGTTCACGCAGCTTACTCCAAGCTTAGGCGCGCTGGACGATCGTCATATCCCATCGGCAAAAATAGCTTACAGGGATGCCCGACGCATTATGGAATATAGACTTCCCCTATTCGTTAACACTTTCGACATTTATATGCAGTATAAGGAGGTCTCCAGGTTTGTACCGCTGAGCTAGTGTTAAATGTTTTTACACTAACTTCCAAAAGCTACAACGTGTTTGCAACCTAGGAATATGGAGACAAGGACAACGTGTTGTTGGTTGGCACGCATACCGATTCAGTCAGTTCAAGCGCAGGCATCAACGACAACGCCAGTGGTGTAGCCAGTCTTCTAGAAATAGCCACACAGCTCTCAAGATTCAAAACAAATTCAACAGTCAAATTCGCCTTTTGGACAGCCTCGGAACCATGCTTGCTAGGCTCCAAACACTGGATGTATACTACCCACCAGGAAGAGCTTCAGAAAATACGCCTTTACCTCGATGCCAACATGCTTGGCTCACCCAATGGCGCTCTCAAGGTATATGACGGGTACGAATCCTCTTTCGGCACACCTGGACCACATGGCTCCGAAGAAGCCGAGACAATTCTAATACAAGGGTTTGAGGCTCAAGGCGTAAATTTCACAAGGACCGAGATCAGCAACCGCAGCGACTACGCCACATTTTTTGATGCCCAGATCCCGTTTGCGGGTCTTTTCAGCGGCGCCAACGGATTGAAGACACAGAAGGAGGCAGGTATGTTCGGAGGCGATGCCGGGGTTCCATACGACGCCAACTATCACGAGCCGGACGACGATATAGAGAATATCAATATGGCAATACTGTTGCAAAACACGAAGGCATTAGCCCACGCCGTTGGAGTTTACGGTAGAAGCCCCGATAGCTTTCCGGCGTCGGCGGCGATCCGGCATTATGGCACGTCAACGAAATATCTATACCCACTGCTGGCCTCAGCATGGGTTGCATACTACTTGCTGTCCTAACTGGTGTAAGCTAATTACACCTATCCTCTGGATCCAATTATACTTATCATTGGGGGTGGTAATGCTGAGAACGAGTACATAGTATTAATTAGAACACCTACACACATCGCGTAATTGCGAAATAAACCTTGAGATTATCTTCTCTGCTAGACGCCCCCGTAAAATATCACTGATGTGACTAATAATTGAGAATTAATTGTTGTTGCAATTTCACGTTTTGCTCGTTATCTCTCCCTCTTTTCAGCTCTGAGGCCTACATCGAATTACGTCTCTTCCAAGGCCAATCGGCGTCCGGATGGAGCTTAGGCACTTCGATATCCTTCCTCAGCTCCTTCTTGCGCTTCCAGTCGCAACCGAATCTCCTGTCGCGGTCGCCCACCGCCTTCTCGAAATCGAACTGGCCGTCGGCCGTGAAGCTAGTCATGTGCTTGGGCTCGCCAAGCGGGAGAGCATCGCCCCGATCTGTCTGCCATAAGTGGTAGACCTTGCCGTATAAGCCGATTACGCGCTTCACCTCCTGCGTCTCGGCAGCCTCCCAGACCTGCTGCGCGCCAGGTATGGTCGTCGGCCCCGGCATGATTAGCATGCCGGATTTCACCTCGTAGACGTGCGAGTGCCATAGCTTCCGCTCCTCAGCGGGTAGAGTCTCGTACAGCTTGGGCGTGATCATGTACTCGATGCCTATAAGCCGGGCGTTGGGCTCGGGACTATCGTAGAGGATGCATTGCCGGACGTCTAGGGGGTGTTAGAATGAGATGTGATGGGCTAGGCTGGGTTGGGTTGAATAAAGGGGTATTCATAATCTACCTACCTTCGGTTAGGTGAGCGCAATAGTGGTTCGCTTCTACGTAGCGGCCTGGCTCGTCGGAGTATGTGTGGAAGGCGTTTAGGTGTGCGCAGAGTTGCTTCGTAGGTTGGAAGTTTTGGATCATAGATGCGCCGGTCTCGAGGATTGTATCCTCGGTTGGGACTGGGCCGCCGGGGACGTGTGGATTTGTCGCCATGGTCTTACTTATCTTGAGAGTTCAGAATGGTGTCTTATTTAAACCGATACTGGCTTGTATAAGTGATATGTGCCTCACTTATATCCTTTTAGATGCTGGTATAATAAGAGCATAAATGGTATTAGTTGGATGAGATTATACGTAGATATTACCTATTCATTGCCATATATATATTATTCTATACGTACTAATACTTATAAAGTTGCATTTAACCTCAACTCGATACATAGAAAGCAATAATGCTGATGTCATGAGTGCGTCGTCCCCCGCCGAATCAGCGGGACTCACAGGAAACTGGCAAACAGAATAACATGCTAACTGCTCTGTAAATGGCTACCCCCCTAGACTACACTAATAGCGTCGGCGAGGTCAACAATTGACCTCGCCGACGCTATTAGTCTAGGGGGGTACTTGATAGTATATCAGAAAGCAGAGTTGTAAAAGTAAGACCACATTCATATGTACCTTTTACATACGCATTTAGGTAGATGGACCTTGAGAAATCACGTGTAACCCCTTATCGTAACAACTTTATTACTAACCTTGTACAATACCTGGTAGAGTGTACGTACACACCTAACGTACAGTGTATATCATGCACTAATGCACCCTTTCGCACGCTTCCTTCCCCCACAGGGGTCTGGCCATAGCGTCATTCTATGTATTAACGCCCCATTGATGGAACCGCAACCTAACAGTTACACCATATAGAAACTCACCAACCACACGACGGTAGAGTTTCACACCAACACCAACCCCAATTGCGTATCCCGATTTAAGAATTCATATTCCAACTTTTGCAAATTTTGAATTTTGATATACACTATACCACACGAGGGGCCCAGACCCAAACAAATCATGGCGGCATCCCGCCGCGGCCAGCCTGAGCTGCAGGTCCGCCTTCCCTCGTCCCCGAACGCTGCGATTCCCGAATTACCCCCCATATCCGCCCTGTTTTTGATCGACTTCGACGTCAAGGCCGGGTATACCATCTCGTGGAAGGCTTCTAAACCCGGAGTAGAGCTCGAGGGCGTTGTTGAGTACAAGTCCCTGCCGTCGGGACTGCATACTGTTTCGGAGGACTTGATCTACTTCGTGCACGATGGGTATGCGGGGTTGAGCGCGTTTGTCAATGCGCCTGTTGAGGATAGCGAGGTGCGGAATGCGAGGATGCTGGCGGTGGGTGTGCTTGTGCCGCTGAGCTACGGCCGGTTGGGAAGAGCTTGGAGACATGCTGAGGGGTTGAAGACAATGGCATCGACACTCGCTACTAGTACCAAGGACATCGGTATATTAGAGGAGTACTGGGAAAAACATCAGGCCAAAGAAGAATCAGTTGCGCCGGTCGAATCTATCGAGTCGCCATCTGTTACGTCTCAACTCCTGCCGAAGCAACCTCAAGGCCACGTTAGGAATCGTTCGACCTCTGATGGGGCAACTTTACTACCGCCTGGCCATAGACTCTCAGCATACCATCCTGCCTGGAGCTTGACGAAGCTCTTAGACACGTTTGGGCCCCTGATATTTCCAATATACCGTGCTGCGTTGTTGCGCAAGCGCATTTTAATATCATGCCACGCGCCCGTGCAAGAAGCTTGCAACTTCGGTTAGTCTAACCATATATTAGCATTAGCTAGCTACCTGTTTGCTAACAATGATCCTAGTTTACGACATATCTATCCTATCAAACATTCCGCAACCAATATTCGACCTCTTATCCCCCAGCTCGCCTCCCCACCGCTTACGACCCCTCTTCTCCATCGGTGTCCACGATATCCCCTTCCTCGTTGAGGACTCCAAGCACAGACGCAACAGCGACGAGCCCCTAGACGGCGATCATGAGGCTGGAACGGGTTGGGTGGCCTGTACGACCGACAGCATCCTTGCTAAGAAAGACACGCTCTGGGATGTCCTCGTCACCCTACCAGCTCCGCACTCCACCAAAGCAGCGCGGCGCATCTGGCCTAAGATCGAAGGGCCGGGCGGCATTCCCATCCGCGCCTCGCAGCGGGACCTAAGACGTTTCCGCTCTCTCAAGACCGGACTGGCCCGGCTTTCCTCGCAATTTAGTCCCGGCGCGTCGCCCACCACGCCTCGAGACCCTACCGAGACTAACGACCCGTTTTTTGACGAGGCAGAGGAGAAGGAGGTTGTCGAGCCCTCCAGCTGGGCCGCCCTTGCTTACAACGGCTTCATGTGGTGGGCCTCAGCCGGCGAGCAAGCCCACACAGAAATAGCCGAAGAATCAGCCCACGACGCCGAGCTCCTCGCCGGCATGGTTGGCTCACCATCTTCCTCTTCCGCGGTCCGAATGGAGGCCCCTCTGCTCTCCGCGTCAATCGCCTCGCTGCCACCCGCCGACCCCAACGAGGCGGGCACAGAACTCGCGCTCATCGCGTATTTCCACCGGCTTACGGCGCAGGTCCTCGGCACGCTGGCGGACGTTGTCGAGAGCGACGAAGATGACGGGGAAGATGATGGTACCGCCGCGTTGATAGATGACGACGATGATGGTGCGGAGGGCCGGGGCGTGCGCGTAAGCAGTGAGGATGTTGCGCGCATGGGCCTCGATGTATGGAGCGCTGCGGACGCGGCGTTTTTGACGGCGGCTGTGAAGGCGTATTTTGGTCGTAGGGCCTATGTTGAGGGGAAGGGGGTCGAAATTTGTGGTGTTAGAATTTGTTAGTGATGGATGGATGGATGGATGGGTGGGTTGGTCTAATGGTCGTGAAATAGGGGGGGTTTGACGAGCTACTTCAACCAATGGTGGTGGTACGAAGTGAGGGGAGGAGATATCCCCATTGTACATTAATATTGCCCTTCTCGTGGCTATACGAGATAGGATAGGAGGTTCGGGACACGGGAAACCCGAATGTCGTCTTAGGTAATGGGTCGCTGGTGTGCTATCTGTGTATGCGTATGAATTAGTGCGCGTGTGCCTCGTATAAAGGCCTCGCAGATGGAATTGAATATATTACAAAGTAAAGAAGTACGATGGCTTGGTGTCGGGGATCCATGTGCTGAGCTTGAGATAAGGAGATAATTACCGCAGCAAGGCATAGTAATAGTTAAAGACGTGCCTGTATACCTAAACCATGCCTTTGCAAGAATATTATTATAGAGTGAGTAGGTGAGTTATCTCGAGAAAAAAAACCAGGCCAATTTTCAACTTCAACGTTGCATCGCGCATTAGAATACTCCTTCGTAGACATTACGAACTCATAAGTAGGTACACAGGCTAGAAAAGCATCATGAACGCACATCTCAAGCATGATGATGATATACAGTTATTCCCCCCTTAACCAACCCCCATTCTCACGAATACGACACACACAACACCAAACCACTCGCAACTCACAGAACAAGCATACAAACATGATATCTGGTCTTGAACTTTCCATCTGCGCAGCGCGCGGGCTGTTTCTAGTATATGTACCTAATGTATACGCCCTATCGCATGCGCCTTGTCTCCCTACAACGCCACGACGCCGATCCTATGCCGCCGCGGCGTGCGCGCTTTTTCCCCGCACAAAGAACTAACTAACTAACTAACTAACTATACACGTGCGCTACTATCTCGATCGAGATGCAGCCGTCAGTATCAGACATCGCGGTCTGATTAAAGGGGGGAGGGGGGAATAGTACGCCTGATTAAGATTTCCAATACACGACCGGCTCTACTAAAATCTCGGTGCTAGTGCTTGTTTCGATGGTGCTATCTTCTTCCTCCTCACTACTTCTACTATCTTCGTCGTCTGCCGCCGGAAACTCGACATCTTACGACTCGGGTTCCGTATCAGTGTTTGTCTCACTAGTGCTGTCTTCTTCCTCTTCGGTGCCGCTCTCCTCATCCGAGTCGTCGTCGTCTTTCCGCCTCTTGGGCTTTGTGGCGCCTGCAACGCTACCGCCCTTAAGTGCGCTCATCTGGCCAGCAAGAGAATCTAGATTTCAAGTTAGAATAGTATATAAATAACTGTTAAAGTAGAAAGCTTACCTTCTTCTGGCTCACTAATTTCGTCCTCCCCAGCCATTGCGGCTGCTTTGCTGGCATCCTCGACGTTAAGAGTAACCTCCATCTTCGTGTCGAACCCAATGTAGCTGTCGCACACGACGTGCATGACAAATGTGTAAGTGCCAGCTTGAGGAGGAGCAGCGAACTGGGCCTTCAAGGTCTGCATGTGGTATGTCGGCTTTCCGTCGTCTGTGAATATAGGCATGTCAAATGTAGTGAAGGGGAAAGGCTGTACGGCCATCTTTCCCTGTTTGCTATCCGAGAGGAAGATGCTCCATTTCGGCGAATGGTCACGGGGATAGTGAGGAGCGAAAGCAATGGGTGGTGATACGGGTTTGTTGTCTTCCTTTGAGATTATCTTCCCATTTGCGTCCTTCACTGCCTTTTTACGTCCCATGAGCGCGTCAAGATCATCCTCAGCAGCATCGACATCCTCTAGATCAAGCTCGTCGATCTCCGGAACGTCTGTGCTCCCAGGAGGAATAAATCGACCCTTCACAACAAGAGTGACCAAAGATGAGGGAATAATAAACCGTTCGCCAGCAACCTTGAAGAATGCCTTTGCGATTCTAAGATAAGGAAGCTGCTGTGCGACACTGACCGCTGTCTTGTATTGCTCTTCGTTTAGAAGCCCTTCTCCGACTACGGCGCTTCTGCGCTGAGAGTCAGGTTGGTCCATAAATTCCTGAACAGTAACATGCGTTTTTGAGTCGCCCTCAACGGCCTTCACTATAGTTGGTGTAAAGTGGGGAAGCTGGAACAGGGGAGAGGCCTTCGGGGGCACGGCTTGGATGAGTCGTTGGCTAACGTAGAACGAGGAGAGGATAGGGACAACGTTGCCATATGCAAGTGAGATCACTCTGAAGGAACCGCAGAGGCTCTGCGCAATCGGCGCAACCATATACTTGGCACTGTTCAAAGCTGGGTCGTCAAGCTCTACACGGCCAAGGTAAGACCATAAAAGTGCCAGAACCTTTCTCCTTACGCCGCTATCGAGGTCCTCTAGCTTCTCTTTGTCCTTGACTGATAGTCCGCCTGCAAAGGGAGTGATTTCCCCTTCTGCCAGTACCCTCGATTCAATTTTCGCGAGACCAGATTCGGCCTTGTCTCCCTTGAGCGCATACTGGAATTCCTTACCACCGCTGAGAGCAGTCACAAGGTCCCCCTCATCCATAGTCTCGGAGTACTCGCGGAATAGGTTATTGGCGCTTTCGACTTGGACTCCCTCTTTGGTTATACGTTGGGTACCGTACCACCAGGATCCGACGTAGTAAGGTAATAGAACTCCGAGAAGTAAAGCGTACACCAGCACGACATATTTACCATTCCCTTCGGAGATGATGAACTGGGGGAGGGCAATTCCGATGCTGTAGCTTTGCTTGCCGTCGGGGTGTCCATATTGAATGTAATTGTTGCGAACCTCCTCGTCCGTAAGTGCTTGGTATGCCTTCGTAATATCAACCCATTTGTCGCTCAATGTCTCAGTAGTCTCGTTCTTAGCTGGGTCCGGCTTGGCCTTGTCAGGGTGATATTTGAGACCGAGCTTTCTGTAGTGAGATTTGATCTGCTTTTCGGACGCCGACTAGAATAAACTTGATTAATACATATACTAGAAATGCGCAATTTGCAAATACATACCTCAGAGACTCCCAGAATATCATAGGGATTCCATATCTTAGCTGTCGTTCGTTGGGTAGTAATGATTAGGTATAACATTCCGGCCATAAGGGTCCATCCTATTAGAGCGGCAATGGCGCGCTTGACCTTGCGCTGCTTTCGCTTCTGGGCTGCGCGCTGCGCTTGGATAAGGTCGGCATGTTCTGGTTGGTATGAGGTCTTTGTCCGCGGTGCAAGTGCGGCAGGGTCTTTGCTCGGGGAGAGGAGGCTATATGTGAGAGGTAGAGTGACGATAGAAGTTAGAGTGAATACGAAGAAAGGGTAAAATTGCCCCTGTTCGTCGTAAGAATACTCCGAACTCATGGTGCAGATGAGCCCTATAACAGGGACTTTGAGGCAGATTCGTTAAGGACCTCAAAGTGTGTTTTGTCCAGAATTGTTGTTGTCGAAAAGAGAGAGAGAGGACTTGTTGTGCTGGAGTTGAACTAGATTGGAGATTGGTTAAATTTAGAAGCGCCTGTCAAGGCAAGCTGTCCACTGTCCAAAGGAATTGCATAATCCGTCTTGAATCGTGGCCTTCTAAATTTCGAGTGGCTACGTACCGGGTGGGTCTCTGATGTCTTATCTTATCGATAGGTAGAATATTAATAAATGTGGCGTGTCCGGCTTAAGATAGACCGGGTATATAACCTGACTTTTGTACCTGACTAAACTTGCCGGATTTCAATATCAGAATTACACAACTACATTAACGGGCATTAAGATAAAGCATTTGTAATAAGGTTGTAACATCTCACTTTGTATTCTTTGTCTACAAATTATTCGGCTTCGAGTAATATCGACAACGACGGGTCTGGTTACTAGAAAAGAGTCTTTACGTATTCATGAATTATACTTATAAGCCTAGGTAGGTACTATACATCTACCTATAGACCATCAGGTACCCTCTAAAAAGAAGCTGGATCTTTAACCCCTTATTTCAGCTCGCTTGTGAATTAAACTAGATCCCACCATGTCCTCGCTTAGGTTCATAGATACCAGAGCTTCGGCGTTAGGATAGGTGGTATATTTCTGCAACCTCTCTATTTCTCCTTGCTATTATATCCCGTATTACGGGTTATAGCTCAATACCTCTAGGTTTCGCACCTGATATAACGTGTCTGTTTTATTCATCGTTAGCCAGGAACGTCACAGCCCTGGGTCTTAGTATAGGTACTTACCGCTGCTAGGGCCCGGAGATCCGGATGAGCCCTCCATTTGCAAGTTGATAATCCTAAAAAGGAACCGCTGTTAATTATGCTATGCTATGCTATGCGCCTTCACCTCCTTCCTCCCTGCGGCTAGACTCGTGACGGGAGCAGCAGCTCCGGATTCATTCAACTTACAGATACATGGGCTTGCCGAAGAAGTTCCCCCCGACCTGCGTCGTGACGAGCGAGCCGTCCATGTAGAACTTGACAGAGACATCCCGCTGGTTGATATCGCGGATCTCGCATTTGATAGCGTGGAACTGGTCCGGGCTGGCGTAGTCCACGTCCTTCCAGGAGAGCACGGACGACGTGTTGAACGTGTTGAACGAGATCTTGCCCGACCCCTTCCACTCCGCCATGTCGATCTCGGGCGGCCAGCCGTCCACCGCCGTCAGCCAGAACGCGGGCCAAGTGCCCTTCGTCGTCGTGGCCTTGAACTCGCCCGAGAAGTCGTACCCGCCGCCCCGCGACACGTTGAAGTGCTCCTTGGCGCTGATGGCCCCCGACAGGTAGTTGATCTTGATCTGCTGCCCGCCGTGCGTGGCGTCCTTCTGGCCGGCGACCTTCTTCGCGGTCAGAGTCACCATGCCGTCTACGAACTTGACTTGGCCCTTGTCCATGCGCGCGCCGCCGTTGTGGTCCGTTCCCCACGGGTAGTTGTAGGCCCAGTCCGCGTCGAAGTTGGACTGCGAGTCGAAGCTCGTTTTGGGGATTATGGTGCGGACTGCTGAGGCGCAGGACGCGGCTGCTAGGAGCAGCGAGTATGCCCCGAGTAAATGCATGGTGGCAAGTAAAAAAGGTGGTCGGTAGGTATATCTTGTACGTACATGCGAAACGGAATTCAAGAGCTTGCCTGGATTACGAGCGAAGCCGTCGAATAAATACTCGTCTTCTCTGTTCTAGACTCGACGGCAGACTTGAGGTTAAACTGGACCATGAGTCCATGACGGTAGGAAAGGGGTGCTAATGGTGGAAATATTAATTAGTTGAGTTGCAATGTACGTCCTCGTCCCGTTTATATACCACCCCGTCTGGGGTAGGTAGTATAGCCACTTGCGGTCGATATTTATCCGGATAAATCCTCGATTGAAAATGTCTAATAGGCCACATTACGCACGATATCGGTACTAAAATAAAAGGAGGGCGGGAAGCGTCAGTGCAGTAACGGCATCCTGTCTCGTATTAATGCTTGTACATATGTATTAAAGTCAAGCTATCTTAATGCGGTTATTATGCCGAAGACCCTGATCGATCGGCAGTGGCATGTTCTAGTCGTTCGACCTTGATGTTCAGCGTCGTATTGGTGCGGTTAGCGTTAGCTTTTTATATCATCTTGAATGTAGAATTATATACTCCTATTTATTATTTATTCAAATATACAGAGATTTCGGCAAGATGCACCCCTAACCTTGCTCCGTATCCCGATCTTCCTCGGATTCTGCAACGCAAGTCAGTTGTAGCAGGCCGTTATCCATATTCCTACACTCGTAAACCGGAGACTCTCCACTCGGAACCGTGACCGTGATATTTTCAATTTTGATGTTGCTACATCGCTGATTTGGGGATTTTGGGTTAGCATACCTAGGTACTTAACTAACTACCTTGCTTCGAGATACGTAGGATCTTAGAACTTACGTCCGGTGCGCTGCATACAAGCGAGCCTGCTTGCGGGTCCAACTTCGCAGAGGTCGTTCCGTAGATGTTCTTCATGGTTACGTCCTCGATAGTTAAGTTGGCCTACACATTCAAGGATTAGTACTACGAAGGCGTCTTAACCTAGGACGTTCTGGCCTCCTACGACACTTACCGGGAACTCATTACACAACGTCTCGTTGCTCTGTCCGTAACACTGCGTGATGGTGATGGCCCTATCGTTATTAATGCTATGAAGGAGGTCATACGTAACGTTCCGAACATAGCCAGATCCCCCACCGCCGACGAGATGAGTCTGGAAGTTAGTCTGCGCGCCGGGCCACACCTTTATCCTCGCAAAGTCGCTAGCGTTAGTCATGGAGATGTTGTAGATGTGAAGGTTCTCAACTATGTCTGTTTGATCCACGTATTGGCCAATAGAACCAATACTAATACCATGCGAGCCAATACACTCCAAGTTTTGGATGACAACGTTGGTGCTGTTTGGTTTGAAGGACACGCAGTCTAGTAAGTCAGCAATCACCTATAACAGTCAAGTACTATTTTATACATACCATCGGTATTCCGAATAAAAGAATCTTGTATTACTACTCGATCGGAACGGTAGGTATCCCAACCATCCGAGTTGGCAATTTTCACCCCGTTAAGTGACTCCGCGCGAAGATCCATATTGCTAACGATGATGTCGGAACTATTCGCAATAATATTGAACCACTATAGGTATATTAACCAAGAGTTATCTGTATGAATAGCCAAGCATCATTAATGCTATCACTTACGTTTGGCGGGTTGCGCATCCGCAGATTCGACATGGTGGCCCCTTTCATGCCGTCAAAGGCAAAGAGCATAGGCCGATACAACTACGAATTGTAGAGTTAATACTGCTATCTATCCAATGTAAATATCACAATTAATTTCTAAATATACTCACAGCCGTATTATTCTGCAACTCCTCCCAATACGCCTGACCCTTGCCATCGATGACACTCTTCCCCTCCTCCAGAGTCAAGTCGCCGTATATATTGACATCCTCTCCACCGAACTTCCAAAACACGCTCTGGTTCTGGAACTCGTACTTGAAGCTATTGTTCTGCCAGTAGTACACGTCAGAGTCGTCGAAAGCGATGGAGCCGGTGATGACAATGTCGATGTGCTTGAGAAAATTGAGATCTAGCGGCGAGCCAATCTGATACGCCTTGTCGAATACGACGGTACCACCGTTGTTGCATTCTCGCAGAGCCTGCAGTATATGCGGTGCATCGTCGCGTTTCGTGCTACACCCTTGCTTTACGTGGCAGTACCTCCCTTCCTCACGCGGAGGCGAGGGCGGCATAGCTTTGCCGGCGTTATAAGGCCCTGGTACGACATTGGGACGGGACGGGATCTTGGAGTGTTCCGTCGCAAGTGCTGGCGAGAGGAGAGCAAGCGCAGCTATAAGCGAGCTCATTAGGTCGAGCTGCATCGTCGAAACGCTGTGCTTGAAAACTATTTTTTAACAGATATTCCTCTAATAGCTCAAGTTGCAGGCATCTATCTTCCCGATTTCTAGCAAAGGAAAGAAAGTCTAGAGGTCGTATTTATATTTACACATTTTCCAGAAACGTCTAATATAAAACTTGGAGGGTTCACACGCTCGGGCTCGAAACAGCACGAAGCCAAGACCCCGAACCAAGATGCCGGGAAGATATATCACAGCGATAGGTGGATGATCTGTGGGGTTTGCTAAGGTTCCTGGAGATCTCGGCTGGTCGGCCAATATTACAGCGGTGCTAAGCTGTTGATTATTAGATTGGTCTTCATCGAGCCCCAAAAAGTACCCAAGGCTTAAATCCTACTTGCCATCAGGGGATAAGTCTTGAAGTAGAACTATTCGATGAGCCCCCATGATGTGATAGTGTCAACTTTTAAGAACTCCAACCCTGTTCCCCCGCAACTGACCTGGAATGTTCCCCGCACGATCTGGGATTGAATAGCTGGGGTAATGGTATTCCGTACCGTGGTGAACTATCGAGCTTTTCTTCACTACATAACCACCACGTATAACCGATTCATAAATACGTTAGATAAAATTTGGCTTTGCAGTTTACCAGTTAGCTAATGGGGCAAATTCAAGATTTAACATAGGGTATCTTATAAATATAAGTTAGCTATCGTGTTTGAGCTTCACTTGTTATGATCATAGGCACTTATACAAACCCCCTTTCCTATTCTAGGGACAAAGTAATCATACCATACTGTATTGTGTAGTTACGCATCTATTTCAACCTCTATGCTAAGTTACTTCAAAGACGACAATACTTCTGCATAGACTCAAGCATCTTTGCCTCGTACTCCGTGTTCTAGAAAATGCGTCTTCTACCTGGTAGTCTAAGCACATTACCGAGCCTCAGCCAACCGAAATAACCCCTCTAATATGCCATATTTGCTGGCTCCGAATATCCAAGAAAGGGGGGGGGGGGGGGGGGGTTAAATTACTATTTATCTTTTTGGTCGGCCCCCGGCCCCGGAAAAATATCCAACCCCCCCGCCCCCCCCCAAACCACCCGAAACCGCCGCCACGGG